TTTGGTGGGGGTGGAGGCAGGATATAGGAACAGTCACAAAGATGGTGCTCCACACTGAGGACAAGCTCTGATAATGTAACTGAGGCAACTGCTTGCCCAGTTTTTGATGGATGAGTTTAATTTTGTTCAGCCTGAGGATGTCAACAAAGTGCCTTGGAGGGCTAGAAACAACCACTTGTTCATTAGATTTCTGATCATTATGGCTGTAAAAGAGGTGCCAGAGGAAGAGTAGCCAATTGGCTTGTATTTGTGAAAGCTTTTTTGAAAGAGGGTTATGTTCCAGCACCTCAAAAAAGTGGCTGCAAGACCTTTGCTAAATAAGCCTCCATCAGATTCTATCTCCCTAAATAATTATCAGCCAGTTTCCAAAACTCCTTTTTAAAGTAACAACTTAGAGTAAATGGTGGCAATTCAAGTGCAGGCTTTTCTTGGAATAAGCTATTTATTAGGATAATGTCCAACTTGGATGCAGGCCTAGTTTGGGGACAAAAACAATCTTTGTCATACCAGGACAGGACAGGTATGTCCCAGTTGCTTGAATATGAAACTTAAAGGGAATATTTTGCAGTAGTTCTGTTTTTCTTTAACTGAACCTAGCCAGGTGGTAATGGGGCACTCTTGCCAGCCTACCACATTCCTTTTCAACTCTACATCAAACTTCAGGGAGAAGTCATTCAGAGTTTTGAGGCTGGGTCTTACCACTGTGCTGGTGACACCCATCTTTAACTGTTTTTCGACTCATGTGAACATCCTAAACTGTTGCCTGAATGCAATGAACAACTGGATCTTGTTTCATAAACCAAAGCTCAACCTGAACAAGACAGAATTTCTGCTGGTCAGTATGTAACCTATCAGGGATATAGCCTGCCCTGGTTATTATTTAGTTTATTGCCATGCAAGACATAAAGGTGTCATAAGCTTTTACTACAAGAATTAAAAACTGAACATAACTAATTTAGTTGCTGAGACAGGTTAATATAACTAAGTCTGTAAAAAAAACTGGCATAACCCCTCACAAGCGCTTGTTAGAGTGCTTAAATGCTTTGACACAGATGAGTGTTATCCTGGCACTGAAGGAGAGTACAGTTGGTGCCAGACAGACCTAACTGGGACACTTGTTCCAGAACTGGGGGATCACCACTGAACTGCCCCCTTCCCTTGTTGCCACCAACCAAGTCTCCATTGAGGGTGGCAGTCAGAGGAAGGCCTGAAACTGCCACTTGGTTGAGATGCATTTCTTCAGAAGAACCAGCATCTCTTAATTGCCTCTAATTTAGACTACTGAAAAGGGGTCCTCTTGAAAGGAAGTATAATACATGCAATGTTTCATAGCACATATACCAACTTTCAATGTGTGTCTGTGTTCAGTAGAAGGGACTGGTTGTCGCTCAATAGCTTGAGGCTAGGATATCTGAAAGACCAACTCCTCCTGTATGATCATACCCATAATTTGCATTGTTATTCTGAGACTCTGCTGTACGTCCTTCCAGCAAGAGAAGCTAGATAGCAGGTACATTAGAGAAACTATGCAACGTCTATTCTAGAAAAGTCATCGGGCTCCATTTGTGCTAAGTTTTAGATGGGTCATAAAAGTTGCACTGTTTCACCAGCACTTTGATGGATTTTAATGGTCCTCTTTGGCTTTTATAAAATATTTCAGCCTTTCCTGCTTTTATTTTGCTGTTGTAACTTGTTCATTTTATTGTTTTGTTGTACGGATGTTTTAAAATTGGTGCAGCTGTCCCTATATTTTACAAGGCTTATGCAGGCTCCTACATGTATGGGGACATGTAAGCATGAACATTAAACAGAAATTGGTCTTGTCTGAAATCTGTACTCTGCATTTTCAAAAGTTAAATATATTGAAACAGCCTCTCAATGTTCATAGCAATATTTTGTTTGCTTTTACACCCAAAGCAAGCTTAGTCATTATTAATATTTTAACAGTACATTTCATTAAGAGCATACATTAGAGAACATTTTAGAGAATGTTTTCAAAACTGCAAATGGAAAAGTATGTATTTTATGTTTGTTTTGCCACTTTTCTCTGAATATAGTATTTTTCCTGAATATCAGAAACAGCACAATAGCTTACATTTAAAAAAAAAAATCACCTGACTGTTTCATAGTTGCTGGGCATGCTATGAAAACAGGGATTATATTTTCATAAGACTTTAATTACTAAAGCATGCAATCTCACATTGTTGTTCTACCCTGATATGTACATCTGATTCCTATCCTGAGCTGTTTGGCTACTATAACTTGGCTTTGCTTGCCATTAAACCTTGCTTTTGAATTCTTTCTTTCCTGAAGTTCTGTTGTTCTGCTCCTAGCACCTCTGTTGCTCTTGACTGGGCTTGTCTCTGGTTGCCCAACCTGACTCCTGGAAATGTCTAGCAAATGTGTTACAGCAGGCCTCAGATGGGTCTAAGATGTGTCTGAGGCCAGCATGTAACCTGGATGCCCCTAAGATGTTTCTCTGGTTGGTAAACAGAAGACTGAATACGGACAGTGAAGTCTTGTTCTTTGCCATCCACAATTATCCTTAAGTATGCCCTACTGTAGCCACACACCAGGATTTGGTTGCATTCCTGCATCCACACTCAAGCCTTCTCCTACTGTTGTTTCATCACTCTCAGCTCCGAGATATTCCATTGAGATGTATGAACTCTACAACAGAGACAACCCTCATAAGTTATTGTGTCATCTCAACCAGGGCTTCCACAGGAACACCAGTCATCAGCTAGGAAGCTCACGAGACCTCTGGAAACCATCCAGATCTATTAGGAACCATCTTAATAGGTACTCCACCCTCACAGAGGAGAAAAACTGCCATCAGTCTGAATTTAATAGGCAATGATCTGACCATGACAAAGGGGCTAGGTGAAGGTCCCCCATTAAGGTTGGGACAAATCAAACACTCACTGGAATCTCTCCTTGTAGCATTCAGGGACTTTCTCTTGCACTTGGCAAGAGAGCCAAGTCAAGTCAAGTGAACCAAGTCAAGAGGAAGTCCAGAATGAAGGTTGCACAGCCAGCAACCCTTCTCTGCGTAAGACTGGAATCCAGGGAGCCAACCCCAGGGAATCCATTACATTTCCAGTTCCCATACAAGCTCTTCCACATCCTTAGTCCCCCACATAGCAGCATCCTCAAATCCAGCTAAAAAAAGAAGACTCAGTCCTGCTAAATGTATCAGGCTGATGACATGTTGGACAGTTCCATGGTTGTCATGGAGGATATGAAACCCTGAACAACCGCATACAAAATGCCCATAGTGTGAATGTTGGAATCCCCCAAAACCAACCACCTGGGGAACTCCAACATCACATATAAGATCACCTGCATCTGCTCAGGTAGGGATTTTGATGGAGAGTAAGCCATCAGAATCCCCAGTAGAATCCCCAATCTGTTCCACTGTCCCAACATAAGGTGCAAACTTTCTAGACTAGCAATTGGACAGACAGAGCACTTGGAAAGACAGAGAGAATTCTTATAGACCATGGTGACTCCTCTTCCCCTGCCTCATATCTACCTTGGTGCTACACCAAGTATCCTGATGGGGAGGAACCAGGAGAAGCTAATTTTGTGCAACATTTTTTCTTTGTATCTGTAAGATAATACTCTCGTATGTGCGCTCTGCTGACCTGCCTTCTGGAATTGCTAAATCACTATTGTTCTGGTGTGTGTGTGTGTGGGGGGGGGTTACTTGTGCAATGGAATTGATGGGTCATAAGAGAATCTATGGGTGTATCAATGTCCCATTTTGCACTGATAGAGCATGGCCATCTGCTCAAGGCTGTCCCCCCAGTACCACCAGCCTCTGCCTGCATGCCCCGTTTGTGCTGAATCATACCTAAGTAGCTCAATTACTGTAATCTGATCTGGGAATGATGGCTCATTTCCTTGAGTAATCTTAATCTGTTCCTCCTGTGCTTTGCTTTGTTCCCTACAAGCACAATTTATGACATTGCACAGCATCACTCTGATCACAGGGCATGTCTGGTAAGGCATCAACCTTCATTTCCAATTTCCTGGTTTTGTGGAGCATGAGATACCCATAACTCTGGTCTTAAACCAGATATATCCTTAAAACATGAGATGGCTTTAACTCTGGTCTCAACCCAATAGGTTTATATATGTAATTGACTTTCCCTGGTTTTACATGTACATGTATTATAATTGATTTCCCCTGGTTTTTGTTCTAATAAAAACAAAAGCACGACTTAAAAACAAAACACCAACAAGTTATTAACTGAACTGATGTGTCCCTGTGTGTTCAGACTCACAGGATTCCAGCATGCTCCTTTTCTCCCCATCTCCTCTTAATCCATCAGTGAGAGGGATTCCCTCAGCCTTCACTCTTAGCTGAAGGTTTCCTTCGATACCACACCCATAATCAGAATACTGAGAGGGACACTGGAATTCATCTCAGAGTAGCATTCTGGCTTAAAGGTGAAGATGACCATGTCCAACATAATCCTGTCAATAATTGCTACCATACGTTTTCATGGAACAGTAAAAACTTAGTAACTTTTGAACTTTGCATAGAACTTTACCAAACAAATTGAAGGCACATCTCCTTAACAAGTCTGAATAAAGTACATCACACTTTTTTACCAAAATTTGAAAGGAATGCATGATGTGCCAAGCCACAGCCTGGAATAAAAGGAACAAACAGGTCAGTTTTCAGCAAACCTGAGGCTTTTTATCAGATTGCTTTGAACATGTACACAACTGTGGACTTCACCAGACAGAACATGCAATTTCCACGTTATGAGCTCAACATGTGTCATTTCTATGAGCGTTAGAATTTTGAGGGGTTTTTTTTTTTACTGTTGGTACCTTTCTTGGTACCCTTCTTATTTTTACTTTTTTCTTTTGGTGACTCCCATCCTGAATACCCTCTGATTGCCACTGCAGCAAAGCAACACATGTCACTATCTAAAATACACAACTAAGATGTGTTTCTTTGCCCAATATACAGAAGGTCATCTTACCAGAGCTGCACATTCCACATCCAGAGTTTTTTCTGGTGGTGCAGGTATACTATGTATCTCCAGGGAAAACCAAACTTTGCAGCATGGTGATCTTTGTACTAAGCAAACAAAAGAAAACACATGCACAAAACAATTAGTTTGAGTTTCAGGTAAAGGCATCTGCAAACATGAAAGCATTTCCAGTGCATCAAAAGATATTATATGACCCTTAATATTGAAATTATATAGCCTTAAATCAAAACATCTACTGACATGTTTGGAAGGGATTTTCTCTAGAACCATAGCCAAAAAAAAAAAAAAAAGCATTGAAGAGATTACCTCTGTGCAAAATACAAACTGCTTTTGAAGTTTCTCACTATTTCAAAATCAGGTTGCAAATGGCAGGGAGAGGTAGGAGGTTATAATTCAAAGGGGGGAAAAGACCTCTAAGCCTCTCTTGAGCTACAGAAGTAATTTCATATTTGGATACTGCCTAATATATTCAAATATACACCTGAACACTTCACAGAACTGAACCAAAACAGTTTAAAGATGGAAATGAACAAGGGAGTAACATCAAGTGACATTTCTGAATTTTCCCAATGTTGTATTTCCAGCTATTTTTTTATACATATAGCTTTTTGCAATGATTAGTAAAAGAAAGCTTAATAGCAGAAATCATTCAGTTACTTTTGCACATGGTTATCTTGACCTACACTTCTTTTAAGAACCTCTAGTGTCAAAACATCTGCCTCCAGATTTATCTTTACAGATTCTGACTTCTTGAAGAAGTTTATTTTATATTTTTGACCCTCTTGTGTCTCTCTGATAGAACACTAAGTAACTGAACCTGTTATTTGATCATCAGAAAAAAATAATATTCTTCAGTGTTTATAGCTAAGCACAATACTTAATAAGGATAAGATTTAGAGGAGGACATGAATGATGTAAGCCACCTTTAGCTCCATGATCTACCTAATCCAACATTTTATTTCCAACACCAATCAGCCAAATTCTACATGTTTTCCAAGCAACTTGTAAGCATGTAGCAACAAAGCATCTTCTACCCACAGGGAGTCCAACAGCTTGTAAATATAAATACAGTAAGCTTCCAGTTTCCATACTGCATAATCTGTCAGTCCAGCTTCTATTTTTTTCCTACACTTCCATATGGAGTTACATAGGCAATAGAAATTGATACATTCTTGGGGCCATACTGGGGTCTTAAAAGTTTCAATGTGTTGTCTCACTGAAATTTAACTAAACCAGCCTTCCTGCGGCACTCTAGATGTCTTGGACTACATGTTCCGGCATTCTTTGCCATTGGCTATCCTAGGATTGTTGGGTTTATAGTCCAACACATGTGGAGAATACCAGTTTAGAGAAAGCTGAATGAAAGGCTAGCCTGAAATCTTTGATGCCTACCACTATTCCAGTACTGGGTCCAGCCAGCCTGTTCCAGTGAGAATGTTTTTATGACCAGGGGAGGATCTGCTGCAGAGCAAGGTATCCACAGAACATTGTGATAATTTTGCTCAAGTTTTTGCTGGTAAAGACACTCAGATCTGGCTTTGCACATTCATGAACAGTCAGTTCTCAAAGTGTCAGTAGTAAGTGCTTGTCACAAGTGTTTGGATCATCTCAACCTTGTTCTCTTGAGGATGTTTTCATGGTGGCTGTGCTTGTGAAGAGCTCCACTTGTTTAGCTCCCTATCGACACAAACCCAGCCACTATCCTGCAGTTATATGCACTTGTTATAGGGAAGAAGAGTTACATTCCTATTTCTAAATGCAAGACATATATATTCCTACTAAGGTCAGAATCCAATAGGCACTTATGCCACTGCCAATTGTATCATATAATTTACTGTTTCTAACACAACCCAGAACAAGCAGAAATGCTTCTTTCTGGAGGAAGATAGGTACTTACATAAGAAATACCTGGCAACCAATTTCCTCTCAAAAATGAGCATTTTGGGTTGCTTTAAGATGTCACCTAGGAAGTGCTAAATTTCCCTTGCATAAGCAGAGAGCTCCACTTCATAATGCGACCAGCATGGTCCAATACTTGCAGGATGGAATCAGCAGGACAGAAAATATTTTTGGGGGGCGAGCGGGGGGGGGCATTAGCATCCTGTTGGATTCTACTCAGAGGAATTGAAAGAAGGAATTTTTCTCCTCACAATCAGAATGGCAGCATATTGTTCAAATATGAACTATATAATCCTTGCACAGCATGAGTTGACAGATATTGAATATCACATACTAGCCACTGGTAAAAGTTATCTTGGGTCAGGGAGACCAGAAGTACACTTGGTATAAAAAAAAATCCAATGAAGGTATGTCCTAAAAGCACTAAAATATTGCATGTTGGTTTTCTTTTGCTCATACATTGGCAGGATTTCTCATGGTTATTCTCATTTTGCAAGTGATTGGATTCTGCACAAGAACATTTTTTTACTTGCCTATATTAAATATTAACTGCAATTTATACAAAATTAACTATTAGTTGTCACTAAACACTCTAAATTTTGTTCTTAAATTTAAAAAACTGGAACTTTTTAATGTAAATTATTAGCACATGCTGCAGAGTAAAGCAATGCCATGGGGGGAAAAAAGTCATATTATACTTGTAGAATCAGCTTCTTATACAGTATGCTGCTACCTACTTATCATGACTGCAACACTTAAGCATTAAAACTAATTCTTTTATAGTTAATTTTTCACTACATTTAGCTTCAAAGCTGAAGGAAAAAATACTGAGGTATTGAAAAAGTATTTGTATAGTCCTTCAAAAGAAATTCCTCATAGCAACCTAATAATGGACATATCGCATATTATTTATAACTTAAAACATTTATTTTTTTAAAAAAGTGTGTATGTGTATCTCTGTTATCAGGGAAGTCTACTCTGAAAAGAAAAAGAAATAATGCACACATCAATAATGCACCCTGATTAGAAGACACTGTTGTTTAAGAAGCAAATTGCAAGGTGAGGTGCAAAAGCTATTAATGAAGATCATCACTTTATCATCATTAACCCTCCCCAGCAGGTGACATACATGCAAAAAAGGCATAATTCTATGACAACCTTCCCTTACAAAGAAAAATGCTCATGCAAATGTATACACACAGCCTTGGTCAGATTGGAACCTAGTGGATTGACTTTTCATATGCTTCTTTCCAGCAGCATGTTTTCAAGATTGGTTTAATTGATGGCTCCTACTATCTCCAGTTTTCATCCAACTCAAATATCACTCCATATCCAATTTCTTTCACCAAAACAAGTTATTCTTAACATGTTGAAGTATTGTGTTAAAACATTTAAATATTTGTATTGTATTATATATTTTTAACTCTGTGTGAAATTCTAGTGTTTACTTTGTAATCTGCCTAGAGAACTGTGGTTATTAGTAGATTAAAAATATGTTAAGGGTACGATTCTATTCAGGTTTTGACTGGAAAAAAGTCCTTCAACTCCCAGCACAGCACAGCCAGAACTGAATGGAGTTGTAGGGCTCTTCCCTGTCAAAAGTGAACCAAATTGTGAATAGATCCTTTAGCACTGAACTAGACAGCAGTCCTTAGGGAACAGCAAATGTCACTCTCTCATTATTTACCAATCTGCATAGCCCCTATCATTGACCTGAAAGACCTGTTCTCTGTGCCAACACCATGAGTAGTCAGGTGGGTTAAATATGAAATACAGGGCCTCTCAGTGGCAAAACTGAGGCTTTGAAATGCTCTCCCCATGGATATTTGCCTTGATCTTTATCTTTCAGACAATTGTTGAATCCATTTTTATTGTAACAGTTTTTTAATTGATAATTCGGGGGTTGCCAAATTGCTTTATTTATGGTGGTTTATTTTGCAATAGGTGCTTATTCTTTCATGCATTCTTGTTCTTTAGTGTTAACTACTCTAGGTACTTACTGGTTATAAATATTTATGATGATGGCATATGATTTTATGCATCAGAATTCACATCATATGACAAACATGTCTGTTAAGGGTTAAAGAAGTGCTCTTTTCTCTCTGGACTACACCGTGACCATGCCTGATATTTCATCCCTATCATATTTTTCTGATTTGACTACTCAGTAGGTGCCAAGATCATGACACTGTGTCGTAGTCCTAAGTGCTGAAGTTAACTTCCTGTCATCATGATCATCATTTATTAAGGAAGAATATGAGGTACATTAGTTTAATCATGGTAATTGAAATAAATCTGAAGCTTTCTCATCAATCCAGGAAAGACAGCTCATTTCAGAAACCTTTCAACATTTGGGCTATTAGTTTGTGCCACATTTTAGAAAATTGCTCCAAAAAGAAACTTTTTTTTGGGGGGGGGGATGTTATGTTTTGTTTTTACCTTCTTAAATCTTAGATTCCATGCATCCATCTCACTGACAAGCAGCTTCTGTTGTTTCTCTCTCATTCTCTCTCTCTCTGTCCAATCTCTCTCAATCTCTTTTTTCCTGACTGATACTATATACTACTCCAAGTTCAAATATTTATTTGCTTGTCATATCTATACCCAATTTTTCAGACAAGATTGGCTCCCAAAGCAGCTAAAAATTAAAATGGACAAAACCACAAAATATTAGGGATTTATGTCACTGCTTATAGTAGTATCTGCTGTTAATTTTTTTTTCAAAGAACATATTAATCTTGTCCATTTTTGCACATTCATCAAAACAGGGTTGGCTTTTCTCATATTTTGCAACAGACAGGCTTCAGTTATATAGCAAATTATCTCTTTTCTGTAATGAATTATTTCTAGCCAGTGCTTGGATGTACCTTGACATAAATGCGTAATAATTTGCAAATACATACTAGACAGAATAACATTTTGGCACAATTGCCCTATAGCTAATGCATATAGTTCATTTTTAAAAATCTATGAAAAACAGGTGCTTAAGCAACTCCTTTACTGTATTAAGCACTGCACTTATTTATTTTTAAATTACAAATGTACTGATATTTTAATTCCTGATTACAAACATCAAATGTACATATTCATAAATAATATTTATAGTTTTAAATTATGCTTAATACAAAAGTAGTTTAAATAATGAAGTAAATAAGGATCTGCACCTGGAGTTTCACAAGAAATTTAAGCTTGTTTATGCCTCTCATCCAACACGAAAAGTTACAGTTCGACTTTCCTTGTGGTAGTGGGATCACTTGCATGTGTGGCAGATGTGCTGCCATATTAGTTCCTTGCACACCCAGACATTCAGGGAACAGAAAGGACCAATGACTGCCACATCTCTAAATATCAAGAAAACTTCAGATGCAATGCTAAACTCACTTAAAAAAATACTCACTGTTGTTTGCTAGAATGGTATGGATATTGTTGTTCTGTTTAAAAGTCAGGATACTGCTATCTTCATTATTTATGTGGTGAATATGCACAAGCCCTTCTATTAAAAGATTAACTATAATTGATTACGAGGTTAGTTGACTATCTTGTGCAAAAGGGAGAGGAGAGGAGAGATTTTATATGGGTCATTCAGCTGGCTGTCATTTTATATGAACAGCACTTTTTAATTGTGAATAATATTGGTTATAAAGCATTAATTTATGTTTGTAGTTGATATCAAAAACACATTGAATCTCATGAAGTACACAGTTTAAACAGTTTTTTTTTTACCAAATATTAAGCAGCTGTCATTATTTCCTTTATAGTAACAGTCACATATTAGAATACTGGCATGGCACATTTTAAAGATGTACTTTTATTTAACACATGGTGATGGTGCAGCATATGTGGACACTATTTTGCATCTGCAACCACCATTCAGGAATTTTTTCATCATGCAAACCCAGTAAGTTTGGGTTATATGCAAGGGTGGTGCATCATCCAAATTTGTAAGTTTTAACAACATGTGAACTGATGTATGGAGATGAAAATGAACTATGCATTGGATTCCACACAGTATGAGCAGAAGCCTGCTTGTGCAATGGGACTGCTTTTTGAGCAACAGGCTCCTTCTACCGTATCCTCTACTTTCTACCTTCAGAAGATGTGGAAGGCAGTACATAGTGGGGTGCAGAGAAAAGGAAAAATATATTCCACCAGTAGATTCCTTTCCTCTGGAATAATAATATCATTTGATGCAAAGCATTTGTATTTCTAAAATAATAAATTTAGAAAAAGCATTTCAGTTAATGAAATTTGCACCAAGAGAATATGAATGTAACAAACAATGCACAATTGTGACAGGCCTAAACTTGCAAAAATAAGATACACAGATCAACATAGTCTCAACTGAGCTATCATAAACATTAGCAAATTTCCAATTATGCCAAAAGTAATTATTTATATTCACACACTGGTCATTGCAAGATTTAAATTGGTCCCTGAAAACTGACCACTGAATAAAATATTAATGTCAACTGAGATGTGTTTCTTTGCTGTTTTAATGTAATATTTAGTCAAAAGTTTCAGTTTAATTATGGCCAACAGCATTTAAATACAAAAATTGAAACCTCCTAAACCTAAACAAACAAGTTTCACAAAAGAATATAGGACCATAGAGCCCATGGACTATAGGACCATAGAAACATAGGACTCTTGAATTCACACAGTATTCATTATTTAATGAGGCTCAAGGCCTGGCATATAAAATATGCATTTTGATAAAAATGGATAATGATAGACATTTATACACACTGATAGTGAAATTATCCATAATAGTAAACCTACCAGTGTTTGCTGCTTTGACTGTTTGCAGTGCCTCTGCTGATAATTTCTGATATTCCTGTATACCATCTGTCTTCTCCAGTAGGTTGTTTTGTTGCTGTTGTTCACTCTCTTCAGCAACAAATACAATTACACCTAAAATAAATAGTTGCCAGATGTTCTATTAATGAAGGCATTCATTTTCCATGATGGGCAGCTACCCTCATGTGAATGCTTACAGAGATCTGCATATCAGGTAAAATCCAAATATTAATTCTTATTGCACATTGATTCTAGATATTTTGGAGAATTCGGGCGGAAAAGATTGTTGCAATAAAAAAGGTCATTTAAAAATCTTGAATTGGGGCTTCCAAATAAGGATTGTAATTTTTAAATTTAAGGATTATGGTTGCTTGTTAATGCATTTTTTCCATGGGTGGGCCATTCTGGACTGATGCTCAAGTACCAACTCAATGCTTCTAATCTCCTAATCCTGGCTATAAATTTCGGGATGGACTATAGACTAGAAAATTACCTGAGCCTCTTGTTATGGTTAACCATTGCTCAGTGTTTCATCTGATGCTAAAGCTTGGTTAATGATGACCAGCATTCCCATCTTGGTAATATTTTCCTATTGTAAAACAGCTTGGGAATTCTAGGAAAGGTTGCTCCATTTATCCTTTGTGAAAAAGAAATGATTGGTGGATATATTACTCTTTGAAAATATCAGCTTGAAACCCATAAAGATGAAATGGACATTGATATCCATATCTGGAGCCATGATGTCTCATGAAGACTCACTTTTACATGAAAACAGGACTAGAACTAAAAATCAAATCAATGCAGCAGGTATACTGGAGCAACCAGTGAAAATGAGTATTATTTCATTTTGAAGTAATACCCTTTTGCTACAGAAAAGGAGTAACCAATGCTAGAAAAAGTTAGGAGTGTACCTTTAAATCTGTAAAGCTATGTATAACACAGTAAAAGACAATTAAATATAGAAAGGAAACCACATTCATATAGCTTAAAATAGCAACATTTAGCCGAAGTATGTAAAATTTCATATTGCCCAATAATTGTTAAATGCATCTAATGCTTAGAAATGAATTATGTTATGTTACTTGCAAAGTTGTGTCATGACCCATCACAACATTCCTCCAGGCTCTCCTGTCCTCCACCATACCCCAGAGTCCACCTAAGCTCACACTGAGTGCTTCAGTGACTCCATCTAGCCACTTCATCCTATGCCGTCACCTTCTTTTGCTGTCAATCGTTCCCAGCATTAGACTCTTCTCCAGGGAGTCCTTCCTTCCCCATTAGGTGGACAAAGTATTTGAGTTTCATCTCCAGTATCTGGCCTTCTAAAGAGCAGTCAGTCTCCTCTAAGAGCAGTCAGTCTCCCTTGCAGCCAAAGGGACTCGCAGGAGTCTTCTCCAGCACCACAGTTCAAAGGCCTCAGTTCTTTGGCGCTCAGCCTTCCTTATGGTCCAACTGTCACAACCATACATTGCAACTGGGAAAACCATAGCCTTGACTATACAAACTTTTGTTGGCAGGGTGATGTCTGTGTTCTTTAGTATGCTGTATACATTTGCTATAGCTTTCCTCCGAAGGAGCAAGCATCTTTTAATTTCTTGCCTGCAGTCACCAGCTGAGGTGATCTTGAATAAGACAGACTAACTTATAAAATAAGAACACAAAAATATGCTAATTCTGATTCTAATAGACTTTCTTCAGGATTGAAGTCTATGATAACCAGCCTGGATTCAGGTTTCCACATCAGGAAGACACCATCTCCTCTTTTGCATGTATATTTTTTTTAAAGTTATACCAGATAGGTATAAAAAGAACAGGTTAACTTTCACTTGTGGAAATTCTGTTCCCATCCTTGAACATAATCAAATTCAATATTTTGATTCCACTTGTTCAAGCAAGTTCACAAGTGGCTGCAAAATTCACTGCATATCCATTAGGTTGTATTTAAAGCTTCTTTCAATGAAAGACCAGCAAAAAAGTATAGTTATGACGGTCAAATCTGAATTTTGTTATGTTTGATATTGTGGCAGAATAGACTGTATCCAGTGACATACCCTTCAATTCCTCATTCTTGTCCTATTTCCAGCCCTCCTCATATTCCCCATATCTGTTCCAGAAGTTCCCCCAAGCTTCTTCATCGGATCTGAGGAACACAGAGACCCTGAGGGTGAATCCATTCCAGTAGTAGTTTCTGTTCCCCTAATGCACAGCCAACGCTGGATACAATCCTTAACAGGGAATTGTTAGGACTATGAGAAGGTTGGCATTAAAGTATGAGGTTGTAAAGGAAATTGAGGACATTCTTGGTCTTGAGAAAGACCATGGAAAAAAGATTCCCTTCTCCATATTTAAAAAGTTATGACTGAGGCATTATGAAATATCTGGGGGGAAAAAGATATTATTTGATGAGGACAATCAGTTGTGTTTAAAACTATTTGGTGAGGATGCTTGATTTTGTTTTGTTTCCAAAATTCATGCAGCTAATCAATCATTAGACATTTTGTGATGGTTCCCATGGCAGTTCTCTCAAATTCCCAAATATCCTCTTGGTTCGAAACAGGTTGTGGATCTTTGTTCTATTTCTAAGACATTACTCCTTTGTTTCACATGAGAAATGTTATGGCAACAATGATGGAGGAGACCATGACAGTGAGCATGGCCTCCTCAGGCAGATGAATAGATTTAGAGAAAGACACATGATAGGAGTCTAAATTAACATTCTAAAGATTCAGGCATACATTCCGGGAAGGATAAACAATTGAAAAACTATCTAAACTGAAATAGTTTTCCTAAAACCAGGAAAGTGAAACTTCAAATTGCTTTTGGATTAGAAGTAATCTATATTGAAACTACAGTTTGAATTGGAACATTATCCAAAGTGCTGAGAAGGAGAGCGACACAAGAAATAAGCTTTTCTAATTGATACCTTGGAAAAAACAGAGATCAGACATCAAGTAATTCCATCAGCGGTTAGCTTGTCTTGAGGAATGCTGTGGCAAGTATCTCATCCTTAAAATGTGATGCATGGTTAAAATTAAAACATACCTTTAAATTCTCCACGTTTCCATGGAGATATGTTCAGAGTATAAGCAGCTGTGTCACCAGGTTCTACAGTGAGAGTTGGGTCACCACTGACGATTAGAAGATCTGAAGATACCTAATACGGTAAAAGAAAAAAAATGGAACAAACTGAAATTCAGCAGCACTGTGGAGATAATACAGGGAATGGAGCCCTTAAAAATGAACTCAAGCACAAATATTGCATTTCTCTCAATCTTCCTAGTGCTTAATTGACTACACAATAAAGGAACGTGTCTTGCTGTGCCCTTTCAAATGTATCAGATTTAAATTTGGTACTATTAATCAAATTATGGTACATTAACTCCTTGCAATACTCCTTCTATTCAACATCTTGCACTTAAGGGATGCAAAAACAAGACCTCTCTGCTGTGTACAGTACATGATGCCATTCCGTAGTTATAAATAAGACATACTAAGACAACTTTAAACAAAGGTCTTATTTGTATTAGTATGATTTCAATTCACATTTCAAATTGAAGAGAGGCAACTCTCTATTGTTTTCACTGTATACTTCAACTTATCATTCCTAATAGACACATCAACTCATTCCATTCCTATACAATGTTAAAACCTGCTTTCAGACATAAGAGGTTGTTTGCACAATCTACAAAGATAAAATCATGAAAATGTACCCAAATCTAAATGAGTTCACTGACTGGCATTGTTTACTGACTTGTTTTCTAATATTAAATATTCTAGCATTTGTTCCAGTAGAAGGACTTTACCACATATGAGAAAATTAAACATACAATATCCATATGAATAATATTTAGTGTCTAATTACTTGGGATTGTTTTATTTTACCTCAGACTGAATAAATAATAGTTATATAGTCTGATTTTGTTTAAAGAATATTGACTATAGAGATCATCCAACTTTTCAGAAGTCTTCTATAGACTGATATAATCTCCTGCAGAAGAGAACAAAAGCCCAGTCATCTGATGCTTGATCAGTCAAATGCGCTACAAGCCCACTTATAAGCACCATTTCCCACAGAGATAGTTGTATTGTTCTGTGCAACTTAAAGATCAATGCATTTATTTTGACATAAGCCTTTGTAGGCCAGAGCTCATTTAATCATGTGCGTGAAGTTTTCACCTGAGCAGGTATGTATAAGTGAACTACAGAAAGAAGACACATTTAGTTTTGTTTTGCTTTTTTAAACAAAGCAAGACCTTTTGAGATACTTGTGCTATCATCTATCTTTTCTTTAAAAATAAATCAAAATATATATACTGTATACTGCTACCATGTTGGACTGGGTCTCACAAGACCCAGTTTCTAGGTCCCAGTTGTCCATAAAGTTCACTGGATGACACTGGAGCAATTACTGACAGGCTTGTTGTAGTGATAAAATTGAGAGGATATGAAAATAATAAAATGAAAGAATCCAGTTCTAGGCAGTAACTACCTAGGAATGGGAATAAAGCTCATCCATTGCCCTCATGCAGTATTAAAGCTCCACTGAGTTTAATATCGCCAATACATGTAGCTCAGTAATTAGAGAAGCTGAATATTTGTGCATCTTGCTTCTACTTTTCACCCAACCATTGACAGGAGGAGAAACTAGAGCCTGCTTCTTCCAGCATGGGACTGGGTCTCACAAGACCCAGTTTCTAGGTCCCAGTTGTCCATAAAGTTCACTGGATGACACTGGAGCAATTACTGACAGGCTTGTTGTAGTGATAAAATTGAGAGGATATGAAAATAATAAAATGAAAGAATCCAGTTCTAGGCAGTAACTACCTAGGAATGGGAATAAAGCTCATCCATTGCCCTCATGCAGTATTAAAGCTCCACTGAGTTTAATATCGCCAATACATGTAGCTCAGTAATTAGAGAAGCTGAATATTTGTGCATCTTGCTTCTACTTTTCACCCAACCATTGACAGGAGGAGAAACTAGAGCCTGCTTCTTCCAGCATGAAGCAATAAGGAAAGCAGCCAAATGTTTTCAGGCTCAGCCAAGAGCAGCTGCTGACAACAGGGAACCTTCTCCTCATCACAGGCATCAGCTGTGCACAGAGACAGAGACAAATTTGCTTCAGGAAATGTAAAAATACCTAGCAGCATTTTTAATATGCATACTGTTCTACACTGTTTCCTAAAACATTGGGACATACAGTTCAACTAAAATTTTATATAAACTAATTTATTCCAGGAAGTGTGCCTTATCATCATTAGAATGAACAGAAAACAATCATACCATCTACTTTGACTGAATGATTAATGTCTAAAAACTTGTCTAGTCAAACCCTATTAGCATTTCTAAACACTGGTTTAGCAGACCATGTGCTAGATAAGATACAGAAGGACTGCAGCCCCCTTGAATTTGCTTCATTCAGCAAAAGCTACGTGAAAACCTCTGCATGAAGCAATCTTAGGGATGAAGAAAAACAAGGTAATAAGCTTTGTTAACAATGGCAACAAGGAGAAGTCACAGTTTACAGGCACTTTCACACATGTGGACAAGTCCTAAACAAGATAGATGGCTGGAAAGGTTAACATCTGACAAATGCTGGTCAAGACAATGTGTGGTAGAAAAGTTCAGAGTAACAAACAAATCTTAAAGGTGTACTGGAGAAGGGTCAAGCTGCAGAAGTGCAGGCAAGGTAATAGATGGCTTACTGGAAAAGTTGACCAGGAGGGTATTGAAGGAGAAGAACATATTAGCAGTATAATGAATAGAAGCAGAAAGGCTGTTTCAGCAATATGAATCAAGCCTAGCACAAGGCATAGTGACAAAGTAAAGAAGAGGCTGATAATTAAATTGTGTGGAGAGAGAGGAGCTGCTGCACAACTTTTTTCAGTCCCAGAACACAGCTTTGGAACATATGAATTAATACTAAATTTTATCATGCCAATATTTCCTCAGGCCTAAGTTTTGGAAAGCATGCATTCTTTCTAGGTTAGGTTCTACGTTAGGTTCTACTCTAGCAGCATAACAAGTGCTAAGAATCACAGAGGGACAGTCTGGAAGCAGACAGTAAAAGCCTCTTCGTGCAGTTGTTATACAAATGGTGACCAAAACTCAGCAGGAATATACTGTGATTCACACCTCCAGCTTCCTTGCCCTGGACAGCATAGGTTTCCTGGATACACAGAGGCTCACACACACAGGCTCATGACTGCAAGTGTTCATGCCTAAACACTTGGGGTGGGGTGAAAAAGTTGTGTAATCTCAGAGATGTGGCCATCAGCATGTCTCTACTTTGCCTTGATTCCATAAAAGTAGCTCAAGAACCTTGGGAATCTGGTTGGCAAAAGCAAGACAGTTGGAAAGTCTAGTCAGGTAGTGTTGGCTGTAAGAACGAGTCCATGTTCCAAGAACATCAGGACATTTCTTCTTTGAGACTGCCACATGCACACACACTTCACCAAGCCATTTGCAGGTAATACAATGGTGGCCTATTCTGGCCAATTTTCAGGGTGAATCTGGATGAGGGGCAAGTGAAATCTACTATGTGTCACTGTTATGTGAACTCAAGCTCAGGGAAAATATGTACAAAGAGAAGGTCCCTCTCAAAGAGCTCCTATCCCTCACTCCAGGTTCTTCCAGGGCAGAGGACACTGCTTCGCCAGACTTTGGAGATTCACAAGAGTCACTCTTTGTGCTACAGAGACCATTCCACCAAGAGAAGATTCAGTAGAGACTAGCCAGCATTCATAAGGCCTTTACACATCACTGAAGAAACAGCTCTCTTTCTGAAGATGAAAAACACCTAGCCTCTTCTCTCAAGCTGTGCTATCCAAGTTGCTGATCAGCTCTGCTTTGCCTACCTTATTTGCCGTACCTGATGTTATGCCTTCCTGCCAGTAGATGCCACTTTAGCAGGCCACTTCCCCATTTTTACCACTCACACACACAGAGAGTGCCCACCCCCTCATCACACTGGTGTAATATCATTGTGTAGCATTTCTTCTGGGCCTTTATAGTGGAGAAGAAGTCTTCATCTAAAAACAGGCAGTGAATTCTCACCCTGTGGCTCCCTCCCTCAATGTTCTCTGACCCTAAAACTTAATGAGGGCTTTAGAGAATCTTCCTCTATGAAAATAAGTTACTATGATTTGTTCAGGTCAATACTAATATAGCTGCTATTTTCCTGCAGTCCTCCTCATTCCTAGGCAAAATTAGTCATTAATCAGAATGATATTCAAATGTAAACAGAGTAAGAAAGGCCTCTGATTTCTTATGTGTTTGCCTACAGTCCTGCCATGTCCTCTTTGCCTGTCTTCAGGGCAGCCTCCACAACTGTCAATAGTTAGAGCTCAACTATGCTTAGTCAGTTTTCACATAGTCAATACAACATGTAGCCGGACTCTTACACCCCTTCACATATACACCAAGTTATATAGGAAACATGTCACCATGATGCTACAACATGAGATTGTGATAATGATGGTGGTGAAGCATTCTGAATGGATTGTGTCAATGAAAATAGAAGAATCACAAAAACAATGTATCAAAATAATGTAGATTAAGAGAAAGAAATGCAGTCTAAAAAGCAATCACTCTAAAAGCAGTTTTGAAACACCAGCAGGATATGCTTGAGTGTGTAAAACCAGTTCAATGTTAAATTACTGGGATTTGGGAATGAGTAATATATAATATGGGACTGCAGGTAGCAGTGGTTTAAACTGCTGTGCTGCTGGGCTGGTTGATCGAAAGGTCGCTGGTTCGAATCTGCACAACGGGGTGAGTTCCCGTTGCCCCATCCCAGCTCCTGCCAACCTTGCAGTTCGAAAGCATGCAAATGCAAGTAGATAAAAAGGTACCACTTCGATGGGCAGGTAACAGCATTCCATGCACTTCGGTGTTTAGTCATGCTGGCCACATGACCATGGAGACTGTCTGTGCACAAATGCTGGCTCCCTCAGCTAGGAAATGGAGATGAGCACCGTCCCCTAGGGTCAGGCATGATGGACATAACGTCAAAGGAAAATCTTTACCTTTACCTTTAATATATAATATGTAATATATATGTAGGAGGAGACACGCTTATTTTATACTTTGCATGAGAACTTTCTAGTCTCTGGCAGTGTCTGAGACACCTCTGCTATGGATCTTGGGTCATTAGGGTCAAAAGCCATGGCTTTCAGACCTGAACCTCAATATTTTTTAATGAATTAATCACTAAGGGAAAAGAGTGAAGAAAACAAGGAAAGATGGAGAAAGAAATCCATCTTGAAACATGAACATGACAAACTTGGACCTGAAACATGAAAATGACAAACTTGAAATGTTATAGATTGTAAGAAGAAACCAACTGTAGGTATCTGCAAAACATGGATATCTGTTTATGTGCCAATGTTCTGTCTGACAGATAGAGGTATATCTACAACTCAAAAAGAAAAACAGTAGTAATATGCATATATATAACAGACTGAGTAACAGACCTGTGAACCAGAAGCTCAGTCCTTCAACTGAAGTTCTTCCAAATGATGGACAGTATCAAAGAAGGCCTCTGAGCTCCACCAATTGTGTTGCAGCAGAGGAACCCACCGCTTACATAATGGGGAGTTAATGCCTTGTTCAGAATCCCCTCCCCACAAAAAAGTCATGAAACATGTATTTCCAGATCAGAACTTGTCCACAGAATTACCTTCTTTTCTAAGCTATTCTGGAAAGGCGTGTTTCTGTTCATCCTGACTTGCATTAACAGCTAGTACCCTCTTTTGCCAGTAGTGGGTCCCACTGGAACATGGGAAGCCTAGGATACTTTCAAAATTTCTTCAATCATCTTTACTCCTGTAAATTATATTACACTAAATATGTGGTATTTTATATATGTTTTACAGAATTTGCTCCTGGGAACTATTGCTAATAGTAGCTAGTGCCTGGTAATCTGTGATCAGTTACTTCTATTGTATCATACAAGATGTATGTCAACTTCTTCCACACAATTCAGTCATTGTTTGTTAGTAACCTGAGGAACATACGCACAATGTAATGAATTTTTTAATGAAATGGCATTAGTATTAAATTAATGGCTTAATATCTCTCATAATAAAAAGCCTGAATGCTAATACTGATATAAAACCCAAAGGGAAAATATTACCTAATTACCATGCCTTAATTGCACAACAAAATATAGCTGTAAATTGTTATCATTTGCTAGCTATACAAAGCTCCCATCTAGCATGTTTTAAAACAAAGGTTCCAACTATCCAGATAAAGGCAGTAGAGGAGAGGGGGGAAATTTCATTACACACACACACACACACACGAGAGAGAGAGAGAGAGAAGGTATGAGTTAAAACATCAGTGACATATTGGGATACATTCAGAAAACTTGGAAACTATTCCTGGGCAATCAAAATTATTCCAAGTGTTTGGGACCAGAGGCAAGTAGTGGCTTCCTTTATCCTTCTCTCCATGTTTTGTGTGTGTATGTGTGTGTGAAGTGTATTTTTTGCCACCTTCTGTTTTGTGAAGAAATTACACATCCCTCTTAAAATCTGCATTAAAGTTTTACCTTGTATTTCAATTCATTCTTGGTAAAATTGGGGACCATTATAACCTTCTGCGTAATCTGTCTAACTTGGCAGTCTATCTTAATATGATCCAGTGCCAATGGTTTTGTTGCAATCCCCTTCAGGAGAAAGACATGATCGGTGCCATCTGCTTCATTTTGTAAAATAAGCTTCCCCTGTGATAATGAAAGACGAGAACATTATTATCATGGTACAAACATGTTTAGCAAAAGCCTAACCAAGCTTGGAAAGAGACACTAAACCCTTTATGTGAGAGGAGGAACTGTATTTATGTTTCTGCATTCTGATCTTCTATCTTTATCTATGTACCTCCATAATATCTTTTGGAGCTGAGCTTTGTCATTGAAAGAGGATCTGGTTTTATGTCTTGGGAACTTCTAACTCCAATAAAGATAAAAAGCAGGGACATGCAATAAGGAGGTGATCGGATCTTAGCAGCAAACATGGAATGAAGAAAACCAGCTTCCTTGTAATTCTTTTGAGGCTGGTTGCTGATAACTGTTTTATATCCAGCAGTATCACACAATATAAACTACTCTGAGATGGAAGAAAACAGAATAAAAATGTTCTCTTACCTTAGTTACACATTCAGCAGTTGGTTTGAACATAAGAGTGTAGGGAGTTGTTTCACCTGGGGCTACATACAGAAGTGGAGGGCCAAAGAAACAGCAGCCCTTTAAATTGGCTATTAGTTTCCAATCTTGCTGACTTAGGTTGGTCTGAAATAGAAAGGCATTCAGCAAAATGTCAGAAGACACAGCAAATGTAAGTGTTTTTGAAAGACTGCAAAATGTAATTGGCAGCAAAAAGAATCTCAGTTCTAATATATGAAATATCAAACTACTAAAGCTTTAGGATTTTTAAAATTTTTAATTAAACTGAAAAGTATTACAGTATTTTTATTTTTACAGTACCATCAACAATCTGCAGTCTAAAATGTTCAGAGAACTGGGAAGAGAACTGGGAGGACAAAGAAGGAAGAGACAAGTATACCACAGGATAAAATTGATCTAATGTAGTGATAAGTACTTAAAGTTGGTTACAATTGGGAATAATGAATAAGTCAAGGGTCTCATGGGAAATGTTGAGTCTGGATGAAACCTTTCAGTGTTGGCTATACTATGCTTGCCTTGCTTGCTTACTGTTCTCAGGAAGTCATAACTTAGCTTCCATGTATCAAATCATAGACTTCCTCAAGGCAGTTCACAGAAAGAACATCGCTAGTCTGCCCTATCTCAGCAAGTATTTGTGTACCCTGAAAAGTATCTGGCGAGTGTTGACAGCCCTTCTCAAAATATGAAATTGGGATTGGGAGCTGTGGGATGACAGTAAAATTACCCAAAGCTGCCCAATTTGGGTTGATTTTTTTTTCTGTCCTTCAGAAGCTCTTCATTTGTTCATTAATCAAGAGACTTCTCTTGATGTTCCAAAGAGGCTTTTTAGGAAGTGTAAAGAGGAAAAGAGAAAGGGAAAAGAGCCAGGAAACATTCCTTCCATGAATGACCTTAAACTAACTTATCTTAGGATAAAGCAATCTGTTTTTAATGTGTGTACTATTTTAGTGCTATTATACACATGACCAAGAAGTGTGTGATCTTCACAGTAAACATTAACCAAATGCAAGAACTCCCGCCCATTCCCAATCTATTTACAATACATTTTTGCTTTTGCTATGTCATTGTTGAACCCAGTACTGATTCAATGCTTATCTAATTATCATTAAACAAAATGCACATACTATTGGGATGTCTTGAGTCACTGCATGATATGCTGGAGTCACAAACTCTAGCTCAGCCTCAGCAGTATCTGTATTCACCATACATTCTATCTGAAAGAGGCGGATGTCATGCATGGACTGCAGAAGAATTTGACAAGGATATCGGCCAGGAAATTGAGGTTTAAATATTATAGGAAGCTCAACAGCATTGTCTTCTGTAAATATAAAAAACATGTGAATACAAACTGTGCAGTAAACTTACAAATACACTGGAGATGATTGAAAACTTAAAAAAAATGATTGGCAAAGCACACTTCATGAATCTGATGGGACTGTTGGAATTGTATGGAAACTGGCTGGAACAGAATTTGTAAACCAATTTAGGATGCAATCATATACATGTACAACTCCCAACACCACCACCCCCGCCTTTCTGGACAGAAGTTGTTAGACACACCAACTTTGTCCTAAATGAGTCAATCTTGTTTAATTATGTCAATGTATTGCTGAATTACTTTCTCACATTCTGGAAGCTATCCTCTAGCCACCACAAGTGGACTTTATGAGCCTTAAGTGGTTGAGAGACTCATATTATGAGAATAGAAAGACAAACCATCTCTCTCAGCCATGCAAAAGACTAAAGACCTCACAATGTTGAACATGTTCACAATGTTGAACATACTACTGATGGCAACTTCATCTCACCACTCATTTCAACATTTGGTCAACCTAACTCAACTTTATTAGAGATAGGGAACAGAACCTTTGAATATTTATGTGCATATGTGTGAGCACATATGCATACATATATACTATTAATAATACTTTCAACACCAGTTCAATGTATCTCTGATCATTACTGTGTGGATAATATTGTTCTTGTTGTTTTGTGTTTGGGGTTTTGTTTTGTTTTGTTTTAATATAAAAATGAAAAGCATGGCTAGCTGGGGCCTGTAAAGGACTGTAAGTTTCTCCCCCACCCCTCAGCTTGGTCAACTTCACAATTATTATATAGAGAAAACAGTTGCAATTAGGAATCTCAAAAAGAATTAATATGCATTTACTACTGTCTTGAAATACTCGTAATTATCAAGTTAGCTGTTTTGGATTAGAACTGGCAACATGATACAGAGTTTAGAAAGGATTACCTGAACACAAATAAAATCATGAAAATGGATGTCAAGATACCTAGCAGAGGTCACTGTGTTACCACTGTACATTACAACAAACAAGCAAACACTCTGCTGTAACAGTATTTTGTGTAAGGGACTTCATATACCAAAACTACTGCAAAAGATCTTGCTGTATGTTGCCAAATATATTGTCAGAAGCACATCTTCCTTTCCTTTTTTCAGCAAATCAAGATGAAAGTCCTCTAAAAGTGTAGTTATCTGATCTAGCCTGGTTTGTGCACATAATATTGTAAGTAATGGAGAACTTGTTAACAAATAGCATAAATCAAAGTAGCATTTCTTGTTTAAGAGAGAAGCTTCTGTTCATGTTAGAAGTTGATCCCAAAAGTAAAGACCCTCTCCTGCCTTCCTTCTCCAAAAGGCTTTGCTCCATTGTCAAGGAAGCTCATGCTACTTAAGTGCCTGATAGCAGGAACAATAGACAATACTCAGTTATAAATCATATTTTGCTAAGGCCAAAAGGGATATCCAGTTATACTGCTGAAGAATGTCAAAGCAGCACGAAATATTTTTCTAAAGTTGAGTTAGTGTTTTTAGTTTGTCCATCAGTCTAGGTAGTGAGTGGATGGCAACTGAAGGTCTACCTCAAAGGAGGATAGACTTTTCCACCAAAAATGTGCCATGAATTGGGCATGGTGATCAGAGATCAGTGCGTCAGGCCATTAAAAACATGTTGCACAAAGAGCTCTGTTGTTGTACAAAGAGAGTGATGCCTCACATGAAATAAAACATGTCACCTTTGTGAACACATCCACCACCACCAAAATAGCAGTTTTGTCTTGCATGGAAGGCAAGTCTGTGATTGAGTCAAGTGACCAAATTGTCCACGATCCAGGGGAACAGGGAAGAGCTACACCAGCTTTCCAGCCAACTTGGCGCATGGATAAATGGCTCAGGAATGCAGATAATTTCATGCACTAGGTGGACTACAACAGGACACTCCCACACTGAAGTTCCAGAAAGCTGGAGGATGCCACCAATGTTTTACAAACATAAAATGACTAAGGCTGAAATCTTATCCCCGTTTACCTGGGAGTAGGTCTTTTGGAACTGAATGTGCTGGCATGGATAGGATTGCACTGTAATTGAACTTCCCTCAAGAATTTTGAACAAAGTTTGTTAGAAAGTACTAGTCACTCATTATGGATTAGAATGGCTACCTATTGTCTTCATTGGCCATTGGACTTTTCTGGTATAAAATGGTTTTCAGTATCAATTCAAGTCTCTCACAACTGGCAGTTGTAAACAAAGGATATCAGTTTCTGGAGTTAATACTTTCCTTACCTGAACTCTTACTTTGAGTAAAAACTAAATTCAGGAGAGGAATAACACAGCATAATATGTTGTGCCTCCAACATTAACGGGCTATCAAACAGATTATAGATTGCACCTCAGGTTCAAACTTCTCTGAAATAAATTGGCTTGTACTCTCATAAAGGCAAGATTAATGACCTGCTAATTTATGAATTATTACCTCTTTTCTGTTTTGTCACCAAGTTATTATCCCCACCGGCTATCTTCCGCAAAAATGTCCCACGTTTGTCAGTTATATAAGTAATAAAACTCACTTATTCCTGGCTCATAAATATATTTCCTTTGAATTAGATTGTAACCACCTCTTATCATTCATGCAAGACCAAGGAGCGCAGAAAATACATAAATTAAAAGATATATCAACCTTGAGCTATATAGTATAAGTACATTCAATTCTTCAAGTACAATAATCACTAGCACTTTATATAAAAATATTAGCAATTATTGTCAACATTAACATGCTGAAGTAAAAAAAGAACTGTATTAATCAGAATAATTTTTAGATAATATGCCTTTTTATCATCAATATAGGTCCAATTTGCCTAAGCCCCTATACGCTATTCTTTCTCCAGATAGTTACCAGGGATTGTGCACACACTGTTTTGCAAGATTTATGACACGGCAAGTAACTTAGTTTGTTATAATGATACACTTGCGTTCTGCTTTTGATACCTAAACTACAGCAACACTCAGTACAGTAAAAAAGAGGAAAAATTAATGATCACAAGAGTTATATTTTTCTAATTGCAAATAAATTAATTTCTGTCAGAGGGAGACAGTAAGCAGATCAACTAATATCCTGCTTTCACTGAATACCAGGACATGCAGTAGAAGTAATATGAGTAATGGTGAAGTTTGATAATACAAATCTAACTATTCTGTGATAATATAATTCGAAAGAGTGTTGCCTCCAATAAGCAAGAGTGATCTGTGCATATAAGATGCCCTCCACATGTAATGTTATTGATGCACATCTGAATGCATAACACCATTGCGATCACAGTACCCATCTAAACTCCATTAAACTGACTAGATGTGTTGTCAATGCTGCATGGGGCTGAGCATCTGCTTCTGAAGTCACTTAAATCACCTAAACACATACACTTTAGGAAAATATAAATAATAAAGGAAAAAAGACAACCTTGCATGAGAACCTTGCCAATTATCACACTTTGTATTCCAGAGGAGGAGGAGGAGAACAACAACTAGAAGAAGCGAAAGCCAAGACAAGAAGAAGCAGCTGCTACCATCACCTCAAGGAATATTACTACAAGAGATACAGGACCAGAAGAGAACACTGCATTGGGGAACAGGTAAAATCTTCAGGAAATTACTCTGAAATAAAAGATGGTTCTGATTACATTCAACACTGAACAAATATCTGAGGCAAAATTCATAAGGCATATAAAGCAAAAGATGATAATCAGTTCTTTAAAATAATATGAAGGCATATTTTACATATATACAGACATGCTCAGGAAAGCATGCTTCCTAGATAGTGTTATTAAATGCATAAATATTTATGTCTCCTAAATTGAGTAGTAAAAATAAATGTGTCAAATTTAGGGCTACTGAACATAAAAATCAGCATATTATGAATGATTTGGTAGCCTAAGAAATAGATTTGAGTCATGATATTCATTCCTGCTACAATTCTTTTAAACTGACAAATTTAGCAGAGAACAATGACTGGTTTGTTTGTTTTATTTATTGCAAACTTTAGTAATGTGAATGTTCCAATGTGTCATATTTATAAATCATTTTTGTCTACTTGGGTTCACAAACTTATTTTTATATTCTTTATACTTTAAACCTGTATCTCTTTCATACACTTCACCCATTTTGCTAACTGCCACAATGAACCCACATGGGCAGAGCACAACAAGGGTACATGCACATGGATACATGATTAAAATCTGTGTGGGCTTCATGGAAGACCACCACCATAAGTGACTGCATAAGTCACTTGGGAGTCACTACGAATCCACTCCCTGGAAAATCAGACATCTCAGCTTTGACAGCTTTGGTAAAAACATTTCTGCATTACAACTCCTGCTCTGACTTTATTTCCTGCTATGGAGTGATAGATATTGTCTTACATTTTGCAACCTCTTGAGGCATGCAACTAAAACTAGCTCCAAAACTCATTTAGTAAAATTTGGCAGGAATATAATAAAGATAGGTTAAAACATACCCTGTGAAGCATTGTACACCATTCCTATACTAGAACTTTGGAGGAAATACATTTATATTGGTTTAATAGTGCAATCCATCCTAACTCCTTGTAATAATAAACCTAATGAAACACAAAACAATTCCGCAAATGATGTTCTAATATACATAAGATGTTTGGGCAAGCAGTGGAGGCCCTATTATCTTTTACTTGGGAATTACAATGCCCTCACTCATATTGGAGAAATACAGAGCCACTGGAACCAGCAGACTGGGGAAAATGTGCATCAGTTGCTTTATGTATTCATTTCTATTCCAAACAAAAGTCAAAGCTCTGTGGGAGATTTCAACCATCACATACAATATTTTACAACTTAAAATCATTTAATTAAAATCCTTTGGTTAATATCCAACGAACAAGCTGTGAGTACCTTTACTGATAGAGAAATATTAGAGAACATAATGATAACTTTCCTATCACTGTTACTGAAGGAGAAAGCACCTCTAACTAGGTCAAATTGCTGAATCCATTGGTGTCAATCCTGAGAAATGACTAGATCATGAAGGAGCTGATTTACCTTGTTCTTTTCATCTCCTATAAGAACCAATATTTGTCCACTTCTACCTTTTAGACACCTCTGAAAGTGGTGAAATGTTCCAAGACAACTTCAACTTGACTAGTAGCTTAGAGCCCACTGTCAAGGGTGTACCATGGCATTGGAAAGGTCAACTGTCAGCAAGACTGAGACTAAAATTGACAGTCTCAACACAGCAATAGGATCTGCAGGAGTCAAAATGACTTCTACAAAGACACCGCATCACATCAAGAAGCCGAACCATTAATAAAGTGACAAAAAGGAACTGATGCAGAAAATGCTGTCTGTATTTTGGAATGTGGGGATTGGAATCTGCTCCCTCAAAGTGCCTCCTTCCAAAAGAGAGACCTCAGGTGGGACATACTATTTCTCCAAGCCTTCATGATTTGATAGTGTTTGCTTGACTCCATGGTGTAAGCTTCCCCCAGATACAGGGGCAAAGAGAGTGGCCATCTGGCAGTGGCAACTTTCCACATTATGAACCAGAGGAAGCCTCTAAGGTGCCAGTAAACACCCCGCCCCCAAAGGCTGAAGGAAAAAGCTGGTGGAAAATAAATCTGTCAAATATGCATGCATACAGGAAAAGAGAAAGGCAAAGTACATTATAAAAAAGAGGGAAAGACTCAGAGACTTTTTTCCTGTATTGAGCTAGCCATTGATCACTCCCTGGGGGTCCCACTTGTTGTGCATGTTCATTCGGATGAGATTCCCAAGAGCGCATGAGAAACAGCCTGTTTTAGGGGGACTTATAGCTCAGACTCTGAGGATGATGTGGAGCTGGCTGAATCAGACTGAGGTTGAGAGCTCACACTCTGATAATGTGCGCCCATATATGCCCTCCCGCCCATTGAGATCAGTGACGGATGCCCTTCTCCGGGAACCCTCTGTGAATGATATTAGGAGGGCGAGTACCCGGAGAAGGGCTTTCTCTGTGGTGGCGCCCCATCTATGGAATGCGCTCCCCAGAGAGGTCCGCCTGGCGCTGCCATTATTTGTTTTTTGGCGCCAGGCTAAGACCTTTTTATTTAAAACTTATTTTAATTGCTGAATTATTGTATTTATTAGGATTTTAAATTAGCCGAGAATGCACCAGGGGTTTTTAAATGTTTTTTTTTCTTTTAAATTGTTATATTGTTATTGTTTATGTATGTTTTTGTGTACTTTTTGTGAGCTGCCCCGAGGCTTTGTTCCGATGGGGGTGGCATAGAAATGTTTTAAATAAATAAATAAATAAATAAATAAATAAATAAATAAAGGAATTGTTGTTGTAACAGACAGGCCTGCACCTGCAGACTCCCTCCCAGTCTACCAGTCCAAGCCTGTTCTGGATGGAAGTAACTCAAGGATACCCATGGGGCCCAGTCTCTCTCCCGCCTACGGGAATGAAGCAGATGAAGGACAGGAGGGAGGAGATTTGGAATTGAATAGTCTCTCAGATGGAAAACACCAGCCTGCTGAAGACATGGACCCAAGAGGCTGTCATCACAGCCGCAGGCTGACCCAATTAGGGACTCAGAGTGCAGAATGCAGGGGCACCCGATTCCACAATGCTCCTCCTTCCAGAGACAGGCCCTGAATGGTTCTTAAGCAAAGCTTTGGGTAAAGGAGGGGCATTGATGGGGTCAACACATCTCTTCTGTATGCTCAGAGGCTTGTGGATGCTTTTTATAGTTTTCCATGTAAAATAAATATGCTTACAAGAAGTGCCAGAGGGGCTATCCTGAATGAGAGGGACAACACCACCATGACCAGTAGAAAGTAACTGAGTGAGAAAGCAGGAACCATGCCCCTCTGAGGTGGTAGTCAGAGAGTGGGGTGGGGTGGGGTGGCTGTCATAGAAGTGTCCTGCAATCCTACAGGGTCAGGGTGAGACTGCACAGAAACTACAACACTTTCCCATGGGAAAGGAGCTTCAGACTGTCTCTTCTATCCCCAGCAATTAGTGTCCCTTCCAGGAGCTTAGCTTAAGAACATATAGTGCCTTTGATCATATTTGGATGAAAGATGGGAGATAATGGAAAAGGGTTTAAGACATTTCTTTTGCTTCAGTTCCAATAAGGTATTTATTACCTGTTTTTTTCGCAGGCCAATGATCTCCTTTTCCTGATTGCAAGGAATTAACTCTGCTTGATGTCAGCACAGGTATAGATATTTTTGGAGAAACTTCAAAACACTCAGGCATGCTTACTTCAACGCTGTACTCAATGTATTTTTCAGAGAATTTAGGATGATGCGGTGGAACCCCTTTCTGTAAATAACAGAAGAGGCGTTTGTGTTAAGTGTTTGTGCAATTGCAACTAAAATCAGCTGCTTTTAGAGACAAGGTGCCAAAGAAGAAGTTAAACCAATATGTCATTCATCAGGATTCAGCTCTGAAGAGTTAGTGACTGAAAAATCTATATTCTTGGACTTTTTTGTATACATTCTGTTTTTCAAGAATGTGGCCTTAGTACCAAATGCCTAAAAACAAAGAAGGTTTCAACCAAAAGGAAGCCAGTTTATTTTCTAAAAAAAATAATTTCTGGCCTACCCTTCAGTCTAGAGAAATCCCAAGATGTTTTTTTTAAAAAGTTCAAATGATCCTAAAATCACAATTCGACTACAGATATAAAAAGGAGGAAAAAATAAAGCATGAAAGACCTAAGGCTTGCCTAGAAGGTATGTTTTTGCCACTTGCTGAAAGACAAGTAAAAGGAGAATGCTCCTCTCATGCTCATCCATTGCCATTGCAACTAAAAAGCCAGACCTTCATTTTCTCCAAAAATGCTTTATAGCAGCAAATGCTATTCACATCATGCTGCAGGTTGGATTTACTAGTGCAATGTAATTTCTATTTCTGCAGGTGCCAAATTAGATCCTGCCTAGAGCCAGCATGAGTAAAAGTGGATCATTTGGTGGGACCTTCTTGGCACCCTCCTCTGGGGAACACTTGGGATAAGTCATAGAGTGCCACAGCTAGAAGGCTGTGACTAGAACAAATTGGTTGGAGGCACAGGCTCCTGTTTTCAAAGACTGTTTAAGTGGGAAATTGCCATCATAAAGAATGAGCATTTTGATTTTCAGGTTTAAGTACATATTGTTGGAGAGTGTTGGACATGTTGAATGCTCTAGAGCAGGGGTCTCAAACTTGCGGCCCGCGGGCCAATTGCCGGGACAGGCGGGGCACAGGGGAGGGGCCCTGCGGCCTTCAAAGCGCTGGCGGCGCCAAGGCGATATAGCATCCTCTGGGAGCGACGCGGGATGAGCAGCCCACCACCACCATGGTGGTGGAATACTTGATGTGGCCCAGCCTCACCCAGACTGCCCCCAGGTAAGCTGAGTTTGAGACTCCTGCTCTAGAGCAAACTCTACTATGAAGAACACCTGCCAGCCAACTGATCTACCTTCTAAATAATAGTTTTGTTTGCCATTTCAAAACCTTGCTTTGCTTTCAGTCATTCCAGAAGAGAGAAACTGTTCTACATACCTGCATGGTGCCTCTGCGCAATGTACAGTGCAATACAATTGGGTACAATACATTGGTTTTGGATCAGGTTCACACTAAGCCTTGCAAATACACCATGATGGCTTAGTCATGTCTGGAACAACCCATAGTACACCTGACAGACAATGGTTTTCCTGTTGTTTATACTCCCCTCCATTCCGCTCAGTTCTCCAGCCGGGGCCAACACATGTCCCAAGGTAATTTGTATAAATATCCATCTTGCCACTGCAATAACATTCTCTTTCCCTTCCTGCCTTATTATTTTTCAGTGCTTTAAAATGCACCAATGACATTATAATTTTTAAGATTATGATTATCAGGTATTGGCAAGTGTGCAATTATTACTGTCCCATATTGACTTGCCTAGAGAATGAACAAATTTCCTCCCAAAGTGCTCTTTCAGCTTTAGTGGAAGGACAGTCACAAACAATGAATGCTGAAAGAGTAATAGGGGCTTTTTTGCTTCTCTTGCCAAATGGAATTGTATTCATTTGCAGAAACCCATGATGTTGTGGGAATAAGATTGAGAACAGAAGGAAGAGAATTAGGGAAGTTACTTTGAGCCCCTTGGGGAAAAAGTGGGATATAAATCAGGAAGGAAGGAAGGAAGGAAGGAAGGAAGGAAGGAAGGAAGGAAGGAAGGAAGGAAGGAGGAGATAATCCTTTATGGGTATGAATAACACTGAACAAGGCATGGATTCTCTGTTTGACTTGTTCACAAAAAATAAGCCAACCTTATGGAAAATGTAGCAGACTTAGCATGTACAACCCACCATGACAAGCTGCCCATTCTTTATATCCACATATCACTTAATTAACCTTTGTATGGCTATTACCCATAAATTAATTCCTGTTTTCCTTGCTGTCATTTTTTCCAGGGGACACCTTGCAATTTCATTTAGGACTAGTTAATGGATTCCTTTCCATATTGCTTCAAAGACATTGTACTATTAAATTAGAACAAAATAAGATAGGATGAAACACAGTGGTCTATGGGCCTCATTCACATTTTGAAATTCATTAATGAATATAGGGTTCTTTCAAATATTTTAGATAAAAAGTTAAAGATTAATAATGCCTGCTTTATTTATTGGTTAGATTTGTACCTTCCATTCATATCAAGAAAATGGCACTCATGGAAGGTAAATAAACACTTGATTAAAGTCTGAAGGGGCATAGGATCCTGAAGGATCTGGCCTTGAAAAAAGCAGTCAATATGTGTCCAGATGTGTCTGAGGGATAGATGTGACTGCCCTTTCTGTAGCAGTCCTTCCAGCCCTCCAGAAAATGCAACTCAATGGGGGATAGTGCTAAATATGCTATATTGTAGGTTTGGGGACTGTTGGGGATTGATGATCACCAAAGACTGAATGGAAATACGCTACATGGGGTGAGCTCTGCTCGACTACTCAGGGCACTAGAGGAGCTATTGTGGGGAGGAGGCCAAGGAAGTCTGTTCCTGCTAGCCCCATTGCACACAGCTAAAAACGGACCAAACTCTGTGTGTTATTAATGGAAGTATTCAATTACAAAACAAGACTTTAAAGAAGAGCTTGGGAATTGTATAGTTCTCCATAATTTTTGCATAATGGGCAAGAATGAAGAGGGAAAACTACTCATAACCATGTGTTTTCCTAAGAAACTCAAAGTCCTGCAAAACATCCTTAAATTTCAATAATTTCCCCCCAGTCCAGATAATAGTGAAAAAAGCATGTCTTTCCAACAGGAAAAAAATGAATATGCTTTTCCCCATCACAATTTCTGACCTTGCTGGCACAAGTCAAGGTTGGGCCAGTCACTTACAAATCATGGTGGTTGGGTTGTAAGAAGACAGGGATGAGAGAAAGCAGCTATGGATCCACAAAATTCTTTGTCTCCATTGCAAGCTCCACCCAGGTAGGTGAGCTACAGACAAATCTACCCCTCAACGTAACAGATTGTAAAGTATTCTGCAGCTTCCCCTGACCTCATAAGCAAGAAGCAACATTATATGAATATTTTAATCAATAGTTTTACCTCAACTTTTGACATCCCTAAAGCTGCTATTGCAACTCGAACACTGCTGCTCTCGAGTGTCCCTGTAGCCTCTCTTCGCATATACTCCAAGGCAGACATCTGCTGTTGTGCAGCAATTGCCAAAGCCTTCTCCCTGGCTTCGTTGACTAAGGGGAGCTTTAGCTTTTCTTCAAGTGTATTAGTAAGACAACATTTCAGACAAAGAACAGGCTGTGTTCCATTCTGACCTGTAATAAACAAAGTCATTTGTCCTCTGTTTTTACATCTTCATGCAACACTTTTGCAAAGTACAAGAAAGTAAAAGGTAAGGATTCACTGAAATAATGTCATATTGCAGACAGTTTCCTCCACTGTTCTCATGAAAATTGTGCATCCAGCTACACATCTACACAACTCTCACCTGAAAAAACAAACCATGCAGATACTAAGTTGATACAGCAGCTATACATTAGAAACTGGGGCTGAAGCCTACTGCTAGAGAGAGCAGACAAGATAAGGACCCAGTTCTAATGACCACCATATTACAACAAGCCATGGAGCCTTTTTTAAGCCACTGCATATGCTGGCCCATGTTGGGAATGCCTGCCATCGTCACATATCCTTATTTTTTTAGTCTTTCAAGGAAATTAAGGTGGCTTTCACAGTCCTTCTCCACTCCATTTTACCCTCACAACATCAACCCTGTGAGCTATGTTACACTGAAAGTGAGTGACTGGCCCAAAATCACCCATTGAGCTCTTCACTGGGAACTAGGAGCTGGATCTTCGGGGTCCTCAGCCAAGTACTGCAGCACCACTCCACACATTGTCATGGCATCCACACCAGGCCATAGGAATTGATTCAACAGAAACAATGCTTGATAACCTATGGCTGATGCTGGGATATTTGAATGTTGTTTCCCTTCAAACAAATCATGCAGACCCGGTTTGGACAATTAAATCTGCAGAGCCAAGGAAAGTAATACAGAAAATAGCCTCTGTCATGTCCAGGACTTAAAGAAACTGCCATAGCTTCTTTAAGCTGCAATGATCGTGTGAACTGGGTGAGAAGACAAGGTTGTTAAGGCCTAGTGTTACAAACGTATGTGTCAACAAGATTCCTGAGCCTTTAACAGCTAAAGCTTTCCACAAAATGGAAATCAAAAAAGGGAAATAACTTAATCTGCTAAATTCTAAATGTCACAATGCTGCAGAAAGTACAGAGGCTAGGAAAAAAAATAAGTTGCTAGTCTTAATTCCCTGTAAAAGAACACTGAACTGTGCTAATAGATTTTCACACTAGCAGTTAAGCCAGGTAGTTTAAACAAAAAGATAAACCACTGCTCTTTCTCATGCCTTTGAAACTGTAGTGATGATATATTTTATTGTTTATTTCTTATAATAAATAAATATTTATTTACTTGCCAGAAGAAAAAGACTTATATATATATATAACTTTCATAAACCATGAAAATTCCAGATCCACTTTTCTGAAGCTTAAATATCTTATATTGGAAGGCAAGGCTGGTGATTGATATATGGTATAAACAGATGAGTACCCAGTGCATATGCAAATGTGCATTTTAAAAATCCACTTCCAGATTACAGCTCAATCTCGAGCATGTAAAACTGAACGCATTAAACAATGGGGGTCAAGTGAGCTCAAAAGGGCTTTACATGTCCTGTTGTCAGTGCTGTATATCTCTGACCCAATGGTACTAAAGAACCATAGCTGTATTTCTCTCTGATATTGTTATGACAGTAGATGCCCTGTTCTGGAGGAGGATGGAGCTTGTCTCCATGAGCAACAATTCCTTGCTGATAGGGCTGTTTGGCTCTCATTAAATGAACATGCAGGCATATGTTTGAATCACAAGCCATGAAAGAAAGGTCACTTGTGCAGTAACTGTAGCTCTTTCAAAGTAATTTGCTAGTATGAGTCTATGCAATGTGAATGCAGGCTATATAAGCCATTATCTACAAGAATTGCAATTACTGATAAGTAACCTTTACATCTCCTTTGACTATCACCTGTATGGATTGCCAGCTTGTGGTCATTATCAACCAGCAATAAATTCTAATGGCAGCATGGCTGGAGGATCCTAATTGAACAAAGATGGTAAATTTGATCTTTATAGGCCAAATTAAGTAATGTAGCATAAATATTTAAAAGGTCCTTTTAAAAAGCTAAACAGTTTCCAGGCCTGAAATAGTTTCAAGAATTCCACTTTAAAGCAGTTTTGTGCCTTCAAGGGTACTTTTGCCGTTTTGATCAATGGCCAAGACACAACATATATCAAATTTGAATATGTTTGATCCAGGAACATTCAGTTGGCAGAGTGCTTACAGAAGTAGAATCATAGCATATGCCTTAAAATATACAATGCTGGGACAAGTCAGGGAAAAAAACCTGTAACTGATAATGATATATGGAGAATATTGAAAATTATTTGTACCTGCAAAGTACTGGCTTGTGGCAGAAAAAGCAATTTTGTGGGCAATAAGTAATTTGTAATCTGAAGAAAAATGAGCTACCATTTGAGGACACAGAAAAAGACATATATTATATATTGGACACTTCTCTGATATTCTTTACTGAAAAATACTTGACTTCTTTCTATATTTATTACACCTGAAAGTGTAATGCATTGCAAAAACATTTTTATTTCCCTCCCATTCTTGTACTCTACCTTCTAACATACTGCTAATGCACAGAACATTTGGGCTATCCAGCGGAAGCAAGCCTGAAGGCAATGGTAAACCACATGTTCCCTCCACCAGGTACACGAATTCCCCAATCTGAAACAGAAGGACATATGCATTTCAATTGTGAAAGCAACTCAGGCAGAACAAATTAGAAGTCTCTCAGACTATAAACAAACAAAATCCATTATACTAACATTGAGGTTTGGCATATAATATTTCATACACCTGAAAACCTTTATTTTAAAATCTTTTAACTAAACCAAAAAGGATATAATAAGGAATATACACTAGAATAACATTAGTAACTCTAGCAACTTTAGTAACATTGCACAATAATAACAGTAATAAACCAAGGCATTGCAATGTTTTACTAAATTACCTTGCCAAGAGGTGTGCAACTGCTCATTAATTGCCTATAAGGAATGATGTGATTATCTCTGCCCATTTCAATTGAGCCTTAAATACTACAGTGTAGGGCCACAAGGTTGGTGGCTGGTTTGCAGGGGATGGGGTATAAGGCAGGACTGAGGGAACTGGGTCTCTTCAGCCTGGAGAAGATGAGACTCAGAGGGGATATGTTGGCGACATACAGGTATGTGAGGGGATGTCACATGGAGATGGGTAGAGATCTGTTCTCCCCTGCAGAGAAAGGCAGGATGCACTCCAGCAGAGCAAAGCTCAGGGAGCCAAGGTTCCATTTAGATGCCAGGAAGCACTTCCTGACAGTTAGGACCCCGAGGGTGTGGAATGGGCTTCCACAAGAGGTCATTGAGGCCCCATCGGTGTGGGTGTTCAAGGATAGACTGGATGTCCACATGGTGGGCATGTCGTGAGCGGAGCCGGCTGGTGCCAGAGGTCAGACTAGATGGCCTGGGAGACCCCTTCTGACTCGCTCTATTTCTATGTTTCTATGTTACTACAACTGTCCATGGGATGAACCAATAAAAAAGTAGTTTTGGGGTATTCAGATTGTACCTTGGCTTCATTGCTGTGCCACAGAATTCTGGTAGGCAGAAGCAGTAACAGCTATCACACAGAATTTTAAAATGTTTTTGTTTTGCTTTCCTGAACTTATTTTGCCAGCATCTGCATGGCCTTGCACAGAGTACTTCAAAGACAAGCATGTCAGCCTGTTATTATCTTTGTAGACATGGTGCATTCTTTATATACTAAGATCAAAAAAGTCAAACTATTGTTATTCTGATATTTTACACATATGAATAAAAGTAAGATTAACACCTATACTGGCAGCCCATTCTGGAGTTCTAATTCTTGTAAAACTAAAGCAATGTTTCTGTCTTTATCAGGACAACCTGGACCCACTCATTAATTCTCAAATGCAAGTTCCATTTAATAAGGCTCAACAATTTATGGCTCTACCTTAGGCAATCTTGACACCTGTAAACGAAGGTCAAATTATGCAAGTGCCATTTTCATCTCCTCAGAATAGTTATTCTTGCGGTAAAAAATAAGACTGAAACAGCTTCAATTTCTTCAATTTCAATTCTTATGAAACTATCTTTTCAACAACCAAATGCCTTGGAACTGCTTAATATGGAAGCTTATCCTTTAAAAATAATCTAGTAATGAAAAAAAGATATACTATTTCCTTTCTTGAAAAATACATAGTGCTGTCAGACACCCTTACATAAAATAGAATTACAGTGCAATCCTACAAATCTCTATTTACGTTATTAGGGTTTACGTCTAGGTAAATGGCCATAGGATTGCCATTTTTTATGCATAATTTTAAATGACTATATTGTAAAAGTTCAATGCAGTTAGTCTTGGCATCAGTATTCCACTTTAAATTGGTTTACCTGAACTGATGTTGCTTGCAGCACAATAATGAATTCGTTCTATCTCTATGTGTGACCTGAAGAAAATGTATTTACCTGTTCATTGACAAAAATTACAGCACAATAACGTTTTCCCATATTAAAAGGGAGATAGTGAAGGCTGAGCACTGTAGAACTCCCTCCATTCAGGAATATTATATTCACTGGGCTGAAGAATTCTTGCAAGCAGCTCTTTTCATTACCTGCCAGAATTTAGAGGTTTGTATAAAAGCTGGTAAATATAACTCCTCCAATAAAGAAACATTGCAAGCTATAACCCCTAGAATGCCAAATAAATTATACCTTTAAAATAATGCTTCTAATACCCAAACACCAACATGAAATTGGATGCTTGCTGTAAAGGAATATATAACTGGAACAATGTTAATTCATGCTTTTTTATTTTCATCACCTCCAACTTTTATCATTTCCTGTTGCTCAAAGAACAGGACAATTTTGAACAAGTCACTATCTAAAAAGGGCCAAACAACACACTGAACATCGTATCTAGACTTACTTCATGCTTAGAGCAATCACACAAAAATCAATGGTACAAATTTGTTCAATTTCTAAGTCTCATTGATTTCAGTTGGTCTATTGTCATCATGGCTAAGACTGATTCTGACCCATTACTGGATTGGGTTTGAGAGTGACTCTCCTGATATATTTTTCTTCTTCCAAAAACAATCTGCATATGGTGGGGGAAGAATGGGTATTGGATCACAGCTGCATGGTGGGAAGAGGTGGGGTTAACTATTTCTCTCTGATTCATTCTCTTAAGCAAACCACCATGCCTCCCACAGTCACCAGTAGCTACATAGGGGAAACATGCAGACACAACATGGGCACTGAGAAATGTGTGTCAGGATGCTGGGGCAGGGACAGAGTCTAACGAATCATGAAATCAGTTTTACATACACAGTGAAGCTTCTTCCCCTTTTCCCTAAAACAAATATTTGTACAATCATTAAGCTAAAAGAACAGTTTCTAGCAGTGCAAGAGCAGGAATTCAGAATGCTATTTCAGTGGTTAAAATTAAAAAACTAAAATAAAATCCTTGGAGATGCACTAAAGTGTTCCCCTTTTTAACCTTATTGGGAAAAGAGGAAACTACTTCAGAACTATCTGTAAGGCTAGTATCCAATGTGACGTGAATGCTAACATCAGGTTGTGTTAGTGTGAGGGACCGCCAATATGATGCCAATAGCGCTAGCTGGTACAACATATTTTTCAATGGGATCTTCTCTGAATAGGTAATGCTAGTACCATTATGTTAGAGTTCCCTAACTCTAGCTTAAACTAAGTAACATTATTGCTCAGGTCACACTGAAAATTGCTCTACTGGAATTCATCTTAAGAAAGCAAGCATAATAGGACTGAAGACAGCACATGGGAAAGACAGGACTTTTAGATCTAAGGTGCTTCCTCTCCCTGCACCTGCCCATAATTTTCACACCATTGTATTATAGGTCCCATACTAGAAGCACCTTAAAGTGTGATCCAATGCTTGTTTACTTAAGAGAAAGTCTCATTGAATTCAATGAAACTTAAGACTAAGTTGCACTGTTAAGGCTAAAATATAGACGTGCACTATAACATCAATCAATATTAATGAAAAGGTTTAGGGGTTTAAAAGAAACATTTCTAAAAAGTTTACATGTATACCAGAAAAACAATTAAATAAACATTATTTAAAAGAAACAGTATTTTCAAAAGTGCATACCAGCACTTGAAATGTCTCCTTGACTGTAAGATTCACATACATCTACCACATCATGTGTATTCCTCAGGATATCAGTTTCGAAGCTAATAGAAAGAGAAGAACATTCATGTGCTTAAATGACCTGCAATTCAACTCTTAGCTAAACCCTTAAATGTGGCAGAACCCAGTATACCAGGTTAAGACCCATTTTGGGGACACTTCACAGAAGTATATAGACTTAGAACTTGGGGTGCATGAGGGATCTGATGGAAAGGGGTGCAAACCTAATGCATTTTCTGGACTCAGGGTGCCATTTCTGTTCTGTCAACCCTGTGCTGGTGCCAGTTGAAACTTATGCAAGTTGACCAAGTATGCATACTTCATTTCTAAAACAGATTGTGATCAGAATACTTTTCTTTTAAAAGCTGGGGAAATGTATGCAAAATTCATTCTGCTTTGCAATTTGTAATATGCATGCAATTTACAGAAATTGTGAAATTTATACAAATCACACAAATCTGGGCAAATTGTGGAGTGGAGGCACAAATCTGAAATTATTTCTCATAAAATTCAAGGTGCCCAAGGTACAGTGTCGGTAACTTCTTGCCTGGAACGCTACAATGTGTTCTATGTGGAATTGCTTTTGAAAATAGTCCAGATACTTCAACTATCTGAACAGGGCAGTGTGGCTACCGACAAGGACTGGTCCTCAAGAACATATCAATCCAGTTTTTCATCGGTTGCACTGGCTGCCTGTTATAGTCCAGGCTCAATTTAAAGTGTTGGCATTAGGGTGGGGCCAGGATATCTGATAGAACGCCTGTCTCCATATATATTCCTACTCAAGCACCAAGATCTTCAACAGAGATCCTTCTCCAAGAACAAGTCACTAACGAAGTGAGGGAGGAAATGGCGAGGAGAAGGGCTTTCTCTCTGGCTTCACCCCACTTAGGGAATATGCTGCCCAAGGAGACACACCAGGCATTTTCGCTGCTTTCTAACTGGTGCCAGGTAAAGATCTTTTTTATTTAACAGTAGCTGTAGTAGCTGAACTGGTTTTTAACATTGTTTTAACTTTTGTTGCTGCACGCTTTGTTGTGACTTTGCCTACATGCCAGATCTTTTTTTTTTTTTAATTAAAACATTTTTATGCCACCCCATTCGCCGAAGCCACGGGGCGGCTCACATCACTAAGTTAAAATAATTATAATATAAATTAAAAATATAAATATTAAATCAAAAATACAACAATACAGTATAAAATAAGCCGCCCTGGCCAGATAAAACCAATAATGTTAACAGTTAAAATGCCACTTGAATAAAAAGGTCTTCGCCTGGCACCGAAAAACAAATAGCGACGGCGCCAGGCGGACCTCTCTGGGGAGCGTGTTCCATAACTTAGGTGCCACCACAGAGAAAGCCCTCCTCCGAGTACCCACCCTCCTAATTTCTTTCATGGAGGGTTCCTGGAGAAGGGCCTCCGATCTCAAGGGGTGGCTGGGCATATATGTACTGATAGAGTTTATTCTTTTAATTGTTGTTCCTGCTGTTCTGTTGTTTTCTTGTAAGACACCCACAGAGCTCTTTATAAACATAATAAATAAATAAATATGAAGAAACTGACCTTGATATCTGATCCTGAAGAGTCCACTAAATGGCTTAATCTCGATATTTGCCTGAATGGTTAAACTAGGTCACAACATCTCGGAATGTTATTAACTCAGAAATCTTGAATTTGAAACTGTCTCTTCATCTGCAATTCCTAAATCTATTTGGAGTCTTATAGGAATCCCCCAAGCCATCAACTCAGCCCTTCAGTTACAATTCCATATAGTTAATTTGCTTATTTTAATGAAATTGTATATTTAGATGATCCCCTTGAGGTAATGGCTTACTAGCTCATGGTTAGCCATGTGTCACTGAACTATCCTACTTGTCTCAAGCCTATACACCACTGAAAATGTTTCATTGATTATGGCCTAGTAAGACAAAAGCCTCCGGGCATTTTGCTTTCCTTTATAGTATTTATATTTATATCTCTTTAATGTCAAACATACCACTTACAATTCATAAAATGGCTAAGGAATAAATCACTAATTTCACATTGCAACCACTGAGAGTTCCACAATTGATATCCTGTATTCTCTATTTTAAAAGGTATTCATATCTTAGATTGCTGTATTGAGAAATTCGGTCAGGTAATGTGGACTAAAGTTTCCTAGGTCTATCCAATAAAATATTCAAATTAATGTCAATATAATCTGAAGCATGGCCCTGACTTTCTGACATAACTAAGGTTTGATAATGATATAGAAGTGACTCATCATTATATTGATTTCTATATATCATGCCAAACCAATTACATATAATAATAAAAGTCTGTGTCATGTGTGCTGACTCAGAGGAGTCTTTGACACACGTAGAGGAGGAGGAGACTTCCCATGGGAAATAGACTTAATTGCAGGAAGATGTATATCTGGTGCCAGTGGTACAAACGCCTCCCCCCACCCACTCCCTGATGAAGCTCTTCAAAGAGAAGAGGGCACAGATGGGAGTAGGATTCAAGGAGGAACTGACAGCAAACTGCAGTCAGACAGCAGTCGGGTGGTTGCTGAGGGAACAGTTGAGGTGCCTGATAACTGTCTTGGGCATGCGGGAATTGGCATTGGCCCAACATGGGGGTTGGAAAATGCCCACTCTCGCAGACACATGCCCACACTAGGGCAATTGGAGACAAGAGAGTTGGAAAGACAGAGGGAAAGAAGTTTGTCGGATCCGCCCATTGATTGGTGGCCCAGGTGAGTCAAAAGCTTTCCGTGAACTGATCTCATTCAGAAAGGGAGGACAACCTCACCACCATCACGATCATTATCATCATCGCTTCCTGTCAATTTCACATAGAATAAAGATCTTAGCAACAACAGCCGGGTTCGTTGTTTTTGTTGGGAAGGAGTGCCAGCCTCACGACAGCCTATAGCTTTTGGCTGCTTGGGTAAAACAAGTCTAAAAGATCCCTTGGCTTCACATAACTAATTATGTCTTTAGTCTTTGGCCATAGTAGGGTTGAGTTTACATGAGAAATTTTTCAAATTTCACTGAGTTGCTTACTCAAGGGCCCTTTTTAATTAATAAGGAAACAAAGAAACAAACTTACTACCCATATAATTAAAATTTCTCAATCGCTAAAAAAAAAAGTTTGAAAATGGGACATTTGCATGTTTCTTTCTTGTAAATGAGGACAGAAAATCTATTTCATAATAGTAGCTAAAAAGTTAGATCATACCCGGGACATGTGAATTCACCCATCATAAATCTTACATAGCTTAAGCTTGAAAAGGAAGCTAGCTTTGCAATAGCGATCAAGAATATCTTTAAGCTTCCAGAATCAAGCTGTATTTACAGATAATAGTGGACACAATCCAGCCAATTTTAAGTACTTCTAAGGCCCATTAATTTTAGTGGAAACACATGCTCCAATGGAGCCAAAGTTAAAGGCTTGACTCTAGATATTTTAATTCAACACCTTAAAATCCAGATTTAAAGTTTAGTTATGTAGTTCTCTTTTAATTCCTGAGAAGTTTTTATACTTGCTTTCATCAATAGCACATGGCAATAAGTACTTGAAACTGCAGTCTTATAAACACTTACCTGGGACTAAACCTCAACACACCTATCATATGTGCATGTTGTACAGTGGAGTAATCCTATGGCTCCTATCTGAAGGCCATACGTTTCTTAGATTCCTATCGCTAACATTGGAGGTTGCACTCTGACCCAGAGCTGGTCATTGCAGCTCCAACACTCTTCCTCGCTGGCTGTTCACTGGGTTGTGAAAACTGCCTCAGAAAGGGGTACATGAGGGCAGTGAGCAGGTGGAAGAGGAAGAGCTTAGGGAGGACAAGATACAAAATATCCTGAAGACACTCCAGTCTCATTCCCTTTCACTGTGGGATGCTCTAACTAGGCAGACAACGAAGCTCACCCAGCAAAAATGAACAGCAGGACACTGGGGAGGCAAAAGTCACCCCTACAGATCCTCCTGCTCTGCATTGGATGGCAATATGCCTCTGAGTTCAGGAGCTTACACACATACTTATAGAACTGAGCCCAGACTGACTAAAAGTCAGAACAAATGCAAAATGCCAAATGCAAAAATGAGATAAGTAAAGCTTGAAGCATTGGAAAGTCTGTTGCCCAGTACTTAACATGGGTATCACACCACTTTCTTGCATATTATCTGTCTAACTTCGTGAGACAGAAATATGCATCCAATTACTCCTTGCAATAATAAAATTAGTGATGCCAGGGTCAAACCAGGCTCCATCAACTAAAGCCTGAAAAAAGTAACCATTTTGATTCTAACACTGAATTAAATGAGCATCTGTTTTGATTTCAGATATTTCCAAAACACATCAAGGAACTTGGATTATACTAGGAATATCAAGTGTGCTTGTGAATGAGGTTTCTTTCACACCTTCAGCCTTGCCTCATTCAGTAAATTTTATGGGGGGTCCACACAAGTTAATCTTCACTCATAATCATCATCTTATGTTTCCTCTCTGCTTCTTCTATCTTTGTTTGTTTGTTTTAAGCACAGATAATCTACTGGGGAGAAAAAGATTGAACAAGTGAACAATGCCTTTTTAAAAGGTGATGCCAGGAACACTCCATCTGGGAGCATCTCAGGTCATTTTGTGCTTCCTCTTCCTTCTTACCCAATTCTTCAGAGGATTACTTTTAAAAAACTGATTTGTTAGTACTTCAATTGCTTTTTTTATTTTTCTGGTTCCCACTCCTTCCAATCAGAGATGTCAAAAACACCTGGAAAAGCACCTCAAAATACATAACATTTATACAGAATGGTCAGATGATTCTTTTTGTGAGTATTCCTATCACTGATATTTACAGACACACAACATTCCTGTGTTTTACATTAGCTGCACAAGTATTACTTTCTAGGACACTTTTTCTTACTACAGTTTGCCTAATGTAATCACCTGTCATATGTCAAAATCATATTGTGTATCAAATTAAGGCTGAAATCTTACCTTTTTATTTTTCCTTGTTTTATTTGGCTGACATGATCTAGCTTCTCTGGCTCAGTGATACAACTTGTTGATTCCACTAAAATGACCCTAAAAGAATCACCACCTTATCAAAATGCCTATAACTTTTGTTATAATAAAACATAAACATACTAATACCTTAGATTTTTAACATTGTAGCGGCACAATGCAATTAGCAGAGACTGACTTCACCCCCTGCTTCCCTCAGACCCCCTCCTAAACAGCTACATAGTTTCAGAAACACAACAACCAATCCTGGGTAAAACAATCCTATTCACTGTTTTTAAAAGTTTAAAACTAGAGTAGAAGATTACAGAAATAAATATAGCAAAAGAACTAGCTATGAAGGAAACAATTTTTATTTAACTATGTACCTGAATGACCCATCAATTTTGAAAGGACTTGTAACCTGAAGACTGAGTTTCTTCAATTCATAACATGGTGATTTGCATTTTAAGATACCCTATAAATAAACAGGAAAAATCTATTAGTCTGTGAAATGCATAAATACTTGCATAAAAGGTTTTACAAACAAAATGCACAACTGTTTGCATACCAAGTTGCGCAACCAGCTGCACTAACATAACTTTGGTTGAATTCTATTCTTGGGCATAGTTTGGAGATTTGATCCAGCCCAGTAGGCTGTACACCCTCTGACTCTAAGTATAACCTAGCTTTGTAAGCATAATGTAAAATCTAGTGTGAGAACTTAGCAATCTTGGGAGGTTTTTCTGCCCAACTTCTCAGAAGAAAGGAGGGGTGGACTTTAGAAGATCAAGATGCCTTAACAGAATAGCTGCAGACTCCAGCTAGGTGTTTTTGCCTGTAATGTTAGAAGCACTCCATGCCTAATCTTGCATGCCAATGAAGCTAGGAGCATCATGTTCAGCATCTTTAGTCTGAGACAGTATGTTTGTAGGGACCCCATCTGGGAATGTTGGGGGCATAGTTCAGCTTGGACCCCTGCCATGTAGAAATCCTGTGAACTATTCCAGAGAGAAGAGATTCTGATTTCTCACTAACTATTCTTGTATGCTAAACCTAAGTAATTTTCTGCATTTGGGAAAGTCTCTATATTTCCTGGGACTTTAGCCATAACTCTTCTTGAGTTATAAACCACAGACAGTTCTGCATCTAGTATCATGAAGCCGGTTCTCTAGGTACTTTCAATCTTGTTCCAAGAGTTCAGTCTCTGACTATGACTTTGTATCTTAATCTTCCTTAATCTAAACCATGGGCTGTTCTCTCTTAACTCATTTACCTCTACCATGCTGAAATGCAATGCCTTTTGAAGTGAGATCTTTGACACTTCATTATCACCTAAATAAGGCTAAATTACTGAGTTTGTATCTCTTTCAGTCTCCCATGATATGAGGAAGCTAAGTCACAGGCCATAAAAGTTTTGCAGAAAAGAAGCAAATGATTAATGGCTACTTTGAAGAACTATTCAATATTTGTGTTTAAATATTAAAAATGGCCAAAATTCTTTCCATTATCACAGTTCCTAAACATCATCCCTCCTTCCCCATGTAAAATGGAGGTTTTCAGGGTGTGTGGGAGTTGGATCACCTTAAGGTGCCCAGAAATTCAGTTAGAAAAGTTTAAAAACACATATTTTCAGCAGGCAAAAAACTTGCCTCCCAACATACGTGATTCCTGGGGGATGGCCCAGAAGGATACATATGGAAAGCCCTCTGAAAATGTATTAGAAATTCATGAGAGGAGGCTATCTCTCCCAGCCACCACCAATTGTTGAAATAGAGCTGTACTGAACAGCTATAATGAATCCATAAATTCACCTGTGGTAAGTCTGCGATTGAAAGATTCAAAAAGAATGTTATATAATTTCACTGTACAATGAACACTTTAAAAACCACCCAGAAAGCCTCCACTGTTGGGTGGTACAAAATTAATTAATTAAGTTCAATAAACAAAAGTACACCCATCAGAAGGTTCCTAAATTTATTGAAAGACTAAAGGCTGGAAGGCATGAATTGCAGAAATGTAGATATATCAGGGGAATATGAAGAAATGAGCAAAGCAAGAAAATTAGTACCAGCCCTCTTCTCAATTCTGCATAGTCCCATGAATCATGAAATTTGATGTGTTCTTACATAGTTTATTCTAGCAGCAAGACAGTAAACTTGTGCTTGTTGCACAAGATCTGGTCCATTGACCATTCCTTTGGAACACTTGAAAACACCCAAGGGTGGGGGGCATTAAGGAGAATATTCAAAGGACCCATTTTTCTCTAACTCTACCTGGTCTCATCCTCAAGGAAAAGTAGACTTAGTGTGCATGCAGTGAGGTTCTTCCTTTTATATTTGAATGGTAGACGCCCATGTGGATTGGGCTGTGTGTGTGCACATGCATACAAGGAAGAAAGAAAAATCTCTGGTAAATATGCACATAGTCTCAGTAGCATTGCCCCAAATGAGACAAAAGATTAATGTAAGAGAAGACCTAGTGCCCTACGTAGGGCTTTCAAACTGTTCATCATATATTTTCTTCCTTACATGGGAAATTATTTATTTATTTTTCGATTTATAGCCTGTCTTTTTCCTACAAAGGACTCAAGGCAGCTTACATCTCCTCCTCCATCTTATCCCTACAACAACATCCCTGTGAGGTAGGTTGAGTCTGTTGACTGGCCCAAAGTCACCCAGTTGGCTCCACGGCTGAGCAGGGACTAGAACCCAGAACGTCTGAGTCCCAGTCCCATGCTCTTAACCACTACACCACACCGGCTCTCATAGTGAAAAAATTCACTATTTACATAAATTATGTCACAATGTCCTAAATAAAAAAGCTGAACTTTAAACATGGACTTACTACTAATATTTTAAGGAGTTTGCTACATACAACACAACTAGCCATATAGCTTATTATGCTGCCTTAAACAAGACAAACCAATTATAACTCACTAGATATTTTCTGGAGTTGCCCCATTCAGTACATTATACTTACCTCAGGTTTAACAAGGCTAATTTTAGTCTTCAGGGTGAAAGCCATGGTAGCCCCGCCCACGCCAGATAAAGCCTTGGAAACAAGCAGCAGAACAGCTTCAGCAGGATATAGGAAGCGGCTAGTAAATTCCACATTTACACTTACATGGCTCCTAAATTGGGATTTAAATAATATATTTTGTAATGAGCTTATGGCAAAGGCTGAGAAAAACACAGTGGTTCTACATATCTAATACTGAGCTTCTTTTGCAAGGTTGCAAAAACTGGTAAAATGGCTAACTTTTAATAACATGACTCATGTAAGATCAAATCACAGGTCTACAGCATGACTTTCACAGAGATATGCCATATTACCCATAAGGTATACTACTTCCCTATCATCACGACCCTCACCTGGTGCTACTCACACTGTGCTCCTCATATGTGTTTACCAAGGTAGCACTGTTTGGGGATTTTATTAATTTATTATTTTTCATTCCTATGCCATCCCTTACTCCAATGGAATCTCTGGTTGGCAACTGAACTGCAACCATTGCCTCAGATTCTCCAAAATGAAATGCCTAATGCTGGATACTGCATTTCGAGGAATCCAAAACATGCTTTCTGTCATGACACAAAACTAAGCAGTTCCCACAACACCATCCCCAGACAAGTAAACATGTATGGGGCAAAAGGGTGAGTGAGTGACACAAGCAGTAGCTGTGCTAAACTGAGGATCAGATGGAGGAGCAGCAGGTCCAGGCAGGTGATCCAGCACCTGAGAACCAGCCAAGCAGAAGATCAGGTTACTGACAGGTCACCAGCACCACAGCAAGGTCTGTCAGTAGTCCTGCCCCAGCCTGAGAAAATCTGGTTTGGAAGGAGAGTTGAAAGAGCTCATCAAACTGAGATGAATAGAGGAGATGAGCCTGAGGGACTGTTGGGGAGAAGATAGAGAGAAGCCATTCTTTCCTTTGGGGTTCAAGGCAGATAAGAAATTAGAGAATTACTGAGGGTTGTTTTTTTAAAAATTACAAATATAAAAGAAAACAACTTTAAAACATTAAAAAAGGAAGAACAAAAATCTATGCACAGAGACCATTCAGAACATCATTTTTAACTGAATGGTCTCTATGCATAGATTTTTGTTCTTCCTTTTTATTCAAATGTTATTTTAATTGTTAATATTATTTATTCATTTTATTCTTTGGCCAGGGCGACTTAATTTATATTGTTAATTTATATTGTTTTATTGAATTCTATTTATTTATGGTTTGTGAGCCACCCCGAGGCTTCAGCGAATGGGGCGGCATAGAAGTCCCCTAAATAAATAAACTGTTCAACAATTTTATTGAAACAGAGTGTGCACTGCACTCATCTAACCAAGTTATCCCTGCCCAAATAAGGATATAGCTGGGATACCAGCCATTGCATTTCTCTGAGAACGCTTGAACCACAAGTGATAAATATGGCACCAAGATCACTCCCAAGTACTTCAGTGGGCACCACTCAGAGAGCCTAACTCCTTCACTCACCAGGTCTCAGTTATACATGTCAGATTGACTGCCTCATCCACTATCAGATCATGAATGAGGGAAGTTTTGTTATATACCTATCTGTCATTTTAAAGCAGCACCTGCAGTTCTGAGGGCAAGCTGATAGGGCAACCACCAAACCTGCTGATGAAGGATGACTGTAATCTTGCACAGCCAATTACCTGGGTTCATGTATCCCTCATCTGGCTAGCTTTTCATCCTCTATCCATTACTGCACCGATAGAATTCCCCCAAGATCCACTTGCCATTGTCAAAAAGACCAGCTCTCTAATTTTCAAATCAGGATTCCCCATCAAACATGAGAATATGGGTCAAACTGCATGTCATACCTTTCAGCTGAAATTGCAGGTGAAGCCATAGCTTTCCTTTTAATATATCTAAACTCTAATGCTATCCAGCTAGAAGTGATGCCCTGTAAGTTGACTTCAGAATAACCCATAAGGGAATATGAGTAGAAAAATATATCATTTAATCTTCTGTATGAGTTAAAGGGTATGCTTAATATTATAAGTTGAGATCTGGGAAATTATATCTTCCTTGCCTAAGTGGCAATTGCATCCTCTTGAGCAAAAAATTGGGGGGAAAAATCTCCAACAAAAATTTCCACAATGTTACCATAGGTGGATTCTTGTGTTGCTCAAACACCCAGGGAGTGTTGTTGTTCTTGTTTCCAAACTATTCATCCTGAGAACTCCTGAGCTGAGTTTTGTATCCTTTGAATCCTGACAATATGACGCACCACAAGTGGGCACTGATAGTCACTCAGTAAGAATGGCAAAAATCATCAAGGAAGAGTGACAACCTTGCCAGTAGCTTGAGAGAAGACTGCTCCAGCTACAGAGAAGATGGACTGGGTACCTCTGCTTGCTCCTGTAACAGTCTCCTCTGGTGGAGGAAATGAGAGTAAAGGATATAGCACAGCTGACCCAGGATCACTATGGTAATGCCGAGTGGATCCAGCACCCTGCCTTCTCCTATCTCTTGCACAACCCTGTCCATCCCACAAGGTTTCTTCCAGAAAAGCAGTCAGGCCACTCTGCAGTATTGCTGCAAGAACAGATCACTTCTGGAGCAGAAGGGTGGCCTTATTCTTCCCCATCCTTCATGTTGCACCTTAGGTACAAATCCTGTTTGTGGTACAGGAACACAACCAATCAGACTCAGACTACCAATCCACCATGACTGATACCCATAGAAGGTTGTCCTGATATCCAAACAGGGCCATAGATTCTCATTTGGTGAAACAAAATTGGAGACTACTTACTTTGGGGAAATAGTGACAGTGTTTCCTTTGGGTAAAGCAAAATCTGCAGATTCTCTTCCTAAAATGGTAGCATTGTATACCAAAGGCCTGACACTTGGGTTTTTCAGTAACATCTGTTGTAAAAATATAATATGTATTGATTTGTTTCTATTTCATTATTTAAGGATAAGTCCTCACAAAGGGATTAACAAAAGGTTTTGAAACAATATTAAATGTAATGAATAACTATGCAATGAAACCAGCACCATACAAATGTGTACACACACACAATCAATTTAACATATAAGTGACCAGTAATACATCAGTAAAAAGCCTGACTAGAAGGGGCATTTAGGCTCAGGTAAAAGGCCACAAAAGAGGGAGCTGTGTCCCTTAAAGGGCATGCCCCTGCTACATGAGCGTCTGAGGTCAGTAATTGTCCAGGTTACAGGGCCTGTAAGACTGCTCTTATAGCTTGGGCAGGCTCATATGTCACTTGGGCAGAGCAATACTACTGCTGGGAGCAGGGAAACAGGGAGGCAGATAAATTGTCTCATCCAGAACCATTTTGACTTAGCTGCAGAGGGAGCATATTACTGCCAGGGTGAGTGCCTCATAGTGTAAAAAGCTGTGTTATGACATTTGTGTTTACCTTCCAAAATGCTGGGAAATGCACCTCCCAGAAACATTATGTCACTACAATACAAATATGATCAGTAATCCTATGATGATATAATGATGTTAGCAGCCCTGGGCAATTTACAAGAATATGGAACATGTAAGGTGAGAGCACAGCATACACTTTATGTTTTCTATATTTATTAATTTAACAGGTACGAAAGGAAATAGGGAATGCACAAGTCTTACTCTCTCAGACCTGTAAAAAGAAATTGATATTTGATATGCTGCACTTTCATTTTAAATTTAAAGGTCAACCACTGATTTTTCGCTTAGATCTATCCATTTTTTCTTCCTGCTTCTTTTGCCTAGGTTTTTATTTGTCTTACTTTATCTTTCATCATCCAATTCTACTTGAATTTGGAAACAAAACTATCAGCCCCAACACATGGTTGGTTTCCCAGGTAACCACACTGATCTGAAACCTCTGTTGTGGTGACTAAGAGCATAAAGATAGCCATATGGGATCAGAGCAAAGACCTATCTAGTCCAGTATTCTTTTTGCATAATGGCCCATCAGAAGCCTATGGGACATCCATGAGCAGCACATGAATGCAACAGCAACTTCCTACTAATGTCCCCCTGCAAGTGAAATACAGAGACATACCACCTACAACAGTGAAAGTCATATACAATTTATTGTCTCCAACAGATGACAATTCAGTAAAGGATACGGCAGATCTAAATTGTTTTTTCATTTCCAGCAAGAACTGTTCCGACATAAGAAAAAGAAATGAGCAATATCAATACCTTTCTAACAACAGTAGCATGAAGTGGGCCAGTAAACTCAAGAGATTTCTTTGGCATATACTGAGGAAGCCGTTCATATAAATAGACACAAAGCATAAGCATCATGATTGGATTTGGATCACATATGTCAGCAGCCTAATTTAAGAATAAAAGATAAAGCAGTATAAGTTCACATTGAGGGTAAGCATACACTTTTTTGGATGCCTGTGACTATTCACTAAAGAGCATTTGAACACTCCTTGGAGATGTATACATTTTCCTTTGCAAATTTTTCAAATGTGTTTGCATGGTCAAACATATTTTCTTTTGTGGATTCTTAAGAACCTCAGGCAGAGGTCCTTTACTTCCTGTGAGATCTTCCTACATAGACACACTAAGAATACAATTAAACACATTTCACTTTCAAAATAGGTGCTCTACTAGTAAGGATGAAGACTTTGCCTCAATACAGGTGGTAAAAAAGCACAATAAAACAACAAATATTGTGCTATCACCAATCAGTGCTGTGCTTAATACTCATAGTATACAATTTAGTTTTGCAAAACTATGCCTTCTCACATTTAAGGCGTGTTGGCCCTAATATTTCCCTTATGCATTTAGATAAGTGTGTATGCAACTGCCAACTGAGGATAAAACTTCATGTGCCTGATGAATTTCCCGAAGTGCTACTATATATATGGGAGTGGGTGACAGCACACTAACAAAGGAATTTGTTTCCTAGTATTTAATCTGTTAACTATGCATAAGAGAGGTGCTGTTGCTTGGGTCACTAGGCCTTGTAACACAACTAAAATAGCACTTATACAGCAGTGATTTGTGGATGGAAAATAAATTAGATATTCATAATTTATTCACAGTATAATGTGGTAGTACTAATAAATGCACACCACCATTTTAAAATGGTATAATCCTTCATGCAATTATGGAGGGGGGTGGTATTTACCACTAGCTTTTTTCAAAGTCAGTGAATTATGGTAATAAGATACCATTACATCAAGTACTTCTACTCATTGCATTCTAACAGGGCATATCAATTGAAATACCAGTTCAATTCATCTTCCTGTATGTAGTGTTGCATTAAAAACACAGGAATGCAAAACAAATGGGTGAAAGTAGAAAACTACTCATAGAATATTCAGAACATATGATCACTTACCAGTACATCTATGTCAAGGTTTATTACATGAAAAGCATTTACAAGGATCAAGCAATTATGAAGATACTGCTCAGGAGCTTTTGGGTTAGTGTACATATTGACAAAGTGAGTTGAAATCTGCATATGAGAAAAAAATCAAAAACTTTCTGAATATATTAGTTAATGGGTCCTGGTCCAGGATTTTGTCAGAGGCAATTGATTCAGTATCCTTTTTAACAGATTCCAGATTCTCTGCTCTCTACTAACTACTTTCATTCCACTCAAAAACAGATGCTATTTTTCTTCATTTCTTTGAACATGGAAGCGCATCCTAGCTCGCTAGCATCTTATCTAGAATGGTCCAATTCCATGCTTCTACACTTCCTTGCTATGTTCTGCTTCTCTCCATCCTTCAGCCCTAGGGATAAGTTTTTTCTCTCTCTGCCACATTTATCAACACACAAGTGTGTATAATACTAGGTCAGACCAGTGGCCCATTGAGATCACTACTCTCTGCTCTGAATGGCAGCAGCTTTTCAAGGCATCAGAGCAAGGCAAAAATATTTTTAAAGGTATTTTAAACTAATAACCCCAGGGATAGGCAAACTTGTGTCCTGCAGATGTTTTGGACTACATTTCCCATTATCCCTGGCATTTGGTAATGCTAATGGGGTAAATGAGAGCTATAGTCCAATACATCTGGATCGCACCAAGTTGCTTACTGGTACCTGGAACAGGGACAAAATAAGAGGATTAGTTATTCTCCCATTCTGTTTAAGCTTCAGTGAACTACTGCCATGACCCTTTCCTATTAATTGCGTCTTAACACAGCAATAAATGATACGTTTTATGTAATAAAGATAAATAACATTTATATCAAAATATTGAAAAATATTCTTACCAAATAAGGGCAATAGCTTGCTACCTGGGCAGCAAGGACAAGTCCATCTAGGAGATCTCTATCAAAGTTTACTATCCATCTTGTAGGAGGTATATCACCTATTTGAAATGAGATATTAAATCATCCTGCAAAATCTGTGAGTCTGCTCTGAAAGAAGTTCTGTATTTTTCCCTTGTGGAAAACAACACAATGAACAAGCTTCAATATTCCAAGTATGCCTAAGCTATCTCATGTATTTTAAGACTTGCTGCTTAAATACTGTGTTTCCCCAAAAATAAGACACTCTTATGTTTGTTTGTTTGTTTGTTTGTTTGTTTGTTTTTGGCTCACAAAAACACACTAGGTCTTATTTTCAGGATAGGTCTTTTTTTAATGTGTGCAACAATCCACACTTATTCATGTACAACAGCATGAATATATGTACATTTGGTATCACTCTGCCTGTGACAGGAGCTGGCGCTATAGAGGAAGCATTGGCTTATGCGGTTCTGCTCCCTCCACAGGGAGCAGAGCTGCATGAGCATGTTTCCTCCACACAGTGCATTAAGTTAAAGTTAAGTTAAAAAATTAATCCAGATGACCATCAGGTATACTACTGCAGGCAAGAATCCCTCAGAAGAAATGGAGTAGCCACTACAATACAATCTCCAAAATGACAGAATGATCTCAGTTCAAATCCAAGGCAAACCATTCAAGATCACAGTAGTTCAAGTCTATGCCCCAACCACTGGTGCTGAAGAGACTGATTTTGACTGGTTCTATGAAGGCCTACAACACCTTCTAGAATTAACACCAAAAAATGATGTCCTTATCATCATGGGGGATTGGAATGCTAAAGTAGGAGGCCAAAATATAACCAGAATAATAGGTAGGTTTGGCCTTGGAGTACAAAATGAAGCAGGGCATAGGCTGGTAGAATTTTGTCGAGAGAATTCAATGGTCATAGCGAACACTCTTTGAATGCAGAATTGAATGCAGAATTCCCGAGAATAGCTAGAAGAGATAAGAATACCTTCTTAAATGAACAGTGCAAAGGAATAAAAGAAAACAATAGAATAGGGAGGACCAGAGATCTCTTCAAGAAAATTGGAGATATGAAGGGAACATTTCATGCAAAGATGGGCATGATCAAGGACCAAAATGGCAGGGACCTAACAGAGGCAGAAGAGATTAAGAAGAGGTGGCAAGATTACACAGAAGAACTATACAAGAAATTGCTTAATGTCCCTGATAACCACGATGGGGTGGTCACTGACCACGAACCAGACATCCTGGAATGTGAAGTCAAATGGGCCTTAGAAAGTCTGAGCAACAACAAAGCTAGTGGAGGTGACAGTATTCCAGCTGAGCTATTCAAAATTTTAAAAGACGATGCAATAAAAGTGCTACATTCAATATGCCAGCAAATTTGGAAAACTCAACAGTGGCCACAGGATTGGAAAATCCTACAAGCTAGACTCCAGCAGTATATGGACCGAGAATTACCAGAAGTACAGGCAGGATTTCAAAGAGGGAGAGGAACTAGAGATCGAATTGCCAACATACGCTGGATCATGGAGAAAGCTAGGAAGTTCCAGAAAAACATCTACTTCTGCTTCATCAACTATGCTAAAGCCTTTGATTGTGTGGATCACAACAAATTGTGGCAAGTTCTTAAAGACATGGGAGTACCAGACCATCTTATTTGTCTCTTGAGAAACCTATATGCAGGTCAAGAAGCAACAGTGAGAACTGGACACGGAACCACTGCTTGGTTCAAAATTGAGAAAGGAGTTCGGCAAGGCTGTATACTGTCGCCCTGCCTATTTAACTTATATGCAGAGCACATATGAGAAAGGTGGGGCTAGATGACTCTCCAGTTGGAATTAAGATTGCTGGGAGAAATATCCACAACCTCAGATATGCCGATGATACCACTCTAATGGCAGAAAGTGAAGAGGAACTAAAGAGCCTCTTGATGCAGGTGAAGGAGGAGTGCGCAAAAGTTGGCTTGAAACTCAACATTAAGAAAACTAAGACCATGGCATCTGGTCCTCTCACTTCCTGGCAAATAGATGGGGAACAAATGGAGGTAGTGAGAGATTTTATTTTCCTGGGCTCCAAGATCACCGCAGATGGGAACTGCAGCCAAGAAATTAAAAGATGCTTGCTCCTGGGGAGGAAAGCTATGGCAAATCTAGACAGCATACTAAAAAGCAGAGACATCACCCTGCCAACAAAAGTGTATATAGTCAAGGCTATGGTTTTCCCAGTTGCAATGTATGGCTGTGAAAGTTGGACCATAAGGAAGGCTGAGCACCGAAGGATTGAGGCCTTTGAATTGTGGTGCTGGAGGAGACTCCTGCGAGTCCCTTGGACCGCAAGGCAATCAAACCGGTCAGTCCTAGAGGAGATCAACCCTGACTGCTCTGTAGAAGGCCAGATACTGAAGATGAAACTCAAATACTTTGGCCACCTAATGAGAAGGAAGGACTCCCTAGAGAAGAGCCTAATAATGGAAAATTGAGGGCAAAAGAAGAAGGGGACGGCAGAGGATGAGGTGGCTAGATGGAGTCACTGAAGCAGTTGGTGTGAGCTTAAGTGGACTCCGGGGGATGATGGAGGACAGGAAGGCCTGGAGGAATGTTGTCCATGGGGTCGCTATGGGTCAGACACGACTTTGTGATTAATAACAACAAAGTTAAAAAATGAAGTTTAAAAAGGCTCTTTATTTTTCCCCACTGGCCCTGGGAATAAACACAGCTAGGTCTTACTTTGAGGGTAGGTCTTATATTTAGCAAGTACCAAAAATAGTACTAGGTCTTATTTTTGGGATAGGTCTTATTTTTGGGGAAACATGGTAGTAGTTTCATTCTCCACCCCATATCTCCTCATCAAATTACATTGGTAGGTTTTTAGTCTTCAGCCACCTCTATTGTCCCGTGGAAAGAACACATGAAAACTGACTACATCAGATACCGATGGTGGATATAGAGATTGACATGAGATACAATTAAACATATGCAAGTATTTACAGATGAGCAGTTAGGTACCAAGAGACAAAGGATGCATAGATATTATCACAAAATGTGTATTTTTGTTTAAGATTTGTATAATATCACACACAAAAAGCATGGCGGTCAACCAAATGTTCATGATCTTATATATAACTCAACCCCCTGAGACACTGTAAGGGGCAGCATACAAAAAATATAAAATAAATATTTGATTAAATATAACTATACCTAAAGCTCAAAGTCACGATTCGATAAATTGAAGTATTGCCCATGAAAGGTATGCCATAATAAATTTCCTAGTTTTTAAGGAGCCCATAAGACTACCTGTTTTTGCTGGAATGGGTTAACATGGTTTTCCCTCTATAGATTGTATATTAGTGCTTTAAAGTTCAGAAATTCTCTTGCAAATGTACTTAATATGCTGAATTAGTTGGTGTGATCTTGTCTAACAAATGAGATGGTGTTTTATTAAGTAAATGAAATAACAAACCCTACTTACTGATACACAACTAAACTGACTAGTTTTACCTTTGCTTCAGTAAGTGCTATCTCAGATTGTGACAATTATTTCCCTATGCTTTTATTTTATTATTTATTTAGGAGACTTCTATGCCGCCCCATTCGCCGAAGTGAAGTGCAAATCCATTAACTGGGATTCTTATGTTTTAATTAACAATTATGTTAGCTGGCTTTAATAATTAATACATCAGCACTCAGAATATTTACTAACAAATTTGCATCAGCATTTGACTCATGGGTAAACACAATAATGCATTAAAATGAAATCCAGTTCAAAAACATGGGCTTGGAAATGTTAATATTTAAACTAACTAAAGAGTTTCAACAGTTCTAGAAACTTAAAACAGAGCAAAGGCAACATTAAGAAGTGAGCATGAGGATAATGCACGAGGACATGTACATCATTAACACGTACATGTCCTTGTGCTATGTATATTATTAACATGTAATACCATGTACATCATTAACATGTCACCTGGTAGAAACTGGCAACATGAAATTGGCTTCCGTAGTTCAATGCCTTTTATTTGCAGCAGTCAAGATGTTAAAAGAAAAAGAAGCATATGCATGCAATTTACTAGCTTGTTTGTAATTATGTTCTATACATATTGGGTTAATTTACCCTCATTCCATACTCTAGAGTTGTTTATAATAGACAACTATTAACTATATAATAGACAAACTAACCCTAACCACAAAATTATACATTTGTGTAATTCAACGAAATTCAGTTGGGCATATTCAGTTCAATATTGATAGAATTCAACAGGTATCACACCTTTTAAATGAACCCTTAGCTCTGTCCTATCCTGAGGCTGTCATAAGTGGAAAAGCATAAAGTGATTTGAACTACCTCTTGACAAAATACTTTTGCATCAAGGTTTTGGTCCATACATTCTATCAAACTTGGGACTCTTTTTATTATTGGCTAGAGAAACGGGACTTTGTATAGATTTAAATATGTTTTTAAGTTATCATAAATAGAAAAAAATGTAGGGGCTGATCCAGCAGGTCCGATGTTTCTGATGCTTGATGCTGTTTTTAGTTTTCCTTTGTTTTAGGGTTATTTTGAATAAAACTTATTAAAAAAAAGTTTTTGGTCCATACAAGGCAGTTTAAAGATATTCACTGAATAAAAAGTCACTTTATTAATATGTCGATAACTTCTGGTGCAGAAGTTGTGCAGTCCCCAACATGTTGACACTTGCTGACACATTTTGCAATCTGAGTAGCTGTCCTTCACTTTGCACAGAATGGCTGTTGTGAGACGTGTACTTTGTCAAAAGACTGGATGCAAAGCAGAGCAGCATCTGAAGCCCTGACATATTAAACGACACCTTTAAACCTACAGCTTTCAGTACCAACAGAAAAGCCCCTCACAAAAGATAAAGGTTTTTTTTTTTTGGCTCTCTGACCTCCACCTTCTGCCAGTCAGCACATTGACTCAGTTCAGATGATACAGCAATCCATCTTGGGTAACTAGCCATGATGGGTTGGCACATCATCCAAACCCAAACCACTTTCTGCAGGGTGGTTTGTTAATGGGCAGCAAGCCACCCTGAAAATGCATACCTTGTTCTAAC